GGTCATATTTCTAATTTTCATCTGAAATATAGTTTTAAGATAGACTATGTTTGTTAATTAGTAAGCGTATTACCGAAATTATTTTTAAATTTACGCATTTATTTTAAGAAAATTAATCAATGTTAATTGCAGCAGTCTTGAAACGTTAGTCTATTCTCTAATATTTCTAGATACTTCTCTTGCGAACCTTCCATCTGGTGGTAAATGACGGCAGCCTTTCCTAGGGTGAACGGAGCAGCCCCTCAGGATAGAAACCCGGGGGTATATTACCCCAAGGGGTTGCTGAGGGCGGGTCGCGGCTGAAGGCAGCGGGGTCGCGGAAGTATAAGGTACTCGCGTAGGCCTGTCCTAATTAGTATAAGATTGAATTTATTTACTTATTATTAACAAAAATCTAACTTATTTATTCAGATAGTTACTATTGTTCATTTTATATTTCTTTAATTTACAAATTTACAGAAATGTATACAGCTAATGGAATGTTAAACCTTAACAAACTAAGAAAAATCAGTTTACTTTGGATTATTACACTATTAACTTTGACTTCCAGATTCCCTTTTTAAATATTGCAACAATATTACGAAGCGCAGGTTCTCCGTGACATATTTATTTTGAGGCGAACCTCTACCTCGCTTGTTGTAGATAAAAGTAGGTCACAAATAAAAGTTCATATAACAAAGTATAAAAAATATAAACATTAGTACCTGAAAACAATTTACTCTTCACTTGTAATTTCTATGCCGTTGTTAGATAGATGGGCTATCGTAGGGTTGTCGCGTTTAAAAAATGTTAAATTTTTAATTTGTACTTTAAAAATTGCCTTTCTTAATTGTTATTAATGTATCTATTGTTGTCGTTAAGTTAATATCTAACTATTTTCGCGAATTTTTCGCTTATTAAATTCACAATACCGTACTTTTTAAAGATACTTCACTTATAGAAGATTCTGTCCTATGTTGTTATTTAGTTAAAAAAATAATATGTGGAAAGACAATCTGTTTTAATCGCTTGAAGTTGATTACAATTGCTTAATTAATTTCTACAAAATAATTTGTAAAAAAATGACTAACAAAATGAATATTTTGGCAACCCTGGTAGGGAGGGTGAATGCAAGGGCGAGAGGACGGAGGGTCGACGCAAGGGTACGCGCCGAGACCTAAGCTCTCAAGGGCCACTGACTATCTACGCCGGAGCCACGCTACGTCAACCCAAAATTTATTTACCTTTAAAATTTATAAAACATCTCTTAGAATGTATAGCCATTTACGTATTTTTTTTCACGTCTTATATAAAAACAAACCTTTAAAATATTATAAAAGTTTTGTATTGTCGTTTACGTAGTTCAGTGTTTAGCTTACGTAAGAATCAAGGTTGATTTTGTTTATAACAAATAGCCAGCTACTGGATATTATCTGAATGGTTACAAAATAGGTAATGCGTCCTTTGTGTCTGTCTGTCCCTCTGTTTACCTCGTAACGTGGAGCTTCATGACAGCGTTTCGCATCCATTGCATCAGGTCCGATGGCACAACCTCGGTGACACCACAACGCTGCTGTCATGTTTGTGACCAGAGAATTTTGAAATCGAGCTAAAAGAAACAAACTTCAAATAGCGACATCTGTTGACAGACGAAAGAATTATAAATAAATCTCATGGAATCCATTTTCAAAAATAACTTGCGAACCTTGTTATAAAATGGTCTTATTTAGCTTGGTTTATGTGCAATAAGTTGCAAGTAACTCCAACTTTTTGTTTTACTTCTATCTCAATAAATAATACACACAACTTGTATAAAATGAGTATTTTAGAGTTTAGAAAATGTGATAGGTTATTTCACAAGTATCGCTTCAAACTCTTGTCATAAACACAACATCGAGGTTCTGAGAAGGTATTATCTCAATGTTTGTGGATCGTAAAGAGCGCAGCGCGGAGGACGCGGCTCGGGTGACACATCAGCCATCGCCATCGCGTGATTCATACCGGCGAGCGCGGGCACAAGAATCTCTGACGTCACACGTCCGGGACTTATTGTCAATACTCAGAGAAATATCGCATACTTACCAAGGCCATGCTCTCTCTCAAAAGGCACGCAAAATTAATATCCTTGGCAGCTATACTGTAATGCAAAACAATTAAAAAAGATCGTGTATGATTCCACGAAACCAATACTAGGTTTCTTTTCACTAATACATAATTTAGAAGTGCGATATATACATATAAATTTAATAGCTTGGCTTTTTTTAAATCCCACTTGTGTTCTAATATGGTGTGGAAAATTTTAATCTTAAAATATTTTAAGTCACATTTTTTATCGCAAGCAACCAAATATTCGTTGTTCAGAATAGTAGCCCAGTTTGGCGCTCGCCAGTTCACGCCCGCTGCGTTCCGTTCCCCGACCGCAATGTTGAGTTTCAATATATTTTGTATTCATAACCTCCGGCATTACACCGCTCAGGTTCATGTGCCCGAGCTGAATTTATTTCAGTTTACGACCTTTTTAAAATGGCAGGAGTACTTAAAACAACTCTGGTATTTCATGCTTCTTTTACATAATATTTTATCATTAGGAACAGGTTTGATATGAAAAATATTTGTATTTCGAAGATCCTAGCTCGTTTGCGACCTTTCACTATGTAAAATAATTTGCATGAGATTGGTAGATCTGGTCTAGTAAATTACTTGCTAGTTACGCATACTTACCGTATAACCGTAGCTTTGTACCATACAAAAATTTGAGATTCCATTGCTATTAGGTACAAAACTAACGTTATGTGTTGACTTTTCATGTTACTAAAAATCTATTTCCAAGGCTTTGTTATGGCTTTGAAAGAACGGTAAACTCGCAGTGCGACTAAAGCTTGAACCTCACTTTTTGGATCCTCTTTCTTTATATTAGCATACTGTTCATCTAGTAAAGGTATTTAATTACTAGCTTTTGCCCGCGACTCCTTGCGCGTGGAAATAAATGAATCAAAATCGAGTAGCATGTGTGTTCTTCCACATTGTCCTCTACATTTATGCCAAATTTCATCTATGTCAGTTCAGTCGTTTAGGCTACAAACTCAAACATCCATTCATCTAAACTTTTGCATTTATAACAGTAAGATAGTAAGACAGTAAGAAGGAAGATAAATACAGGGTTTTAATTTTAGAACAGACATCTAAATGAAATACCAATTAAGAATTCTACATCCATTATAATTCAACGGCATCAAGATATCCTTAATAATTAAACATTCAAATCACTTTTGTGTTATTCGAGTTTTATACAAAAAAAGGAACTTGGCGATAGATAAGTCATACAATTAATCAAGCATTTTCTCAGTAAACCAGTCTCTGTATGAAAATCAGTTGTTACGCATTAAATGATTTTCTTACAACTTTCTGAAAATTTCATCGATGATATATAAAAAAAATCAGTCTAGACATAGACTTGGGTTTCGTTCGACGAAGCCAGAACTCATACAATCCTAACTTAAAAACTAAAATAAAGGAACATAAATTTAGAACTTACACATAGCGGGTAATAAATACCAGTTGTCCCAATAACTGTGGGTTCCCACTGTCGAAACATGTATTAAAAAAATTACATTTCTCAATGTTTTTGTACAGGCGCTTCGACAGTTGAAATCCACGAAGAATAAATACATTGAAAATTATTTAAAAAAAAATACATCAAACAAAAATTCAGACTTATACCTCTTGTTTATTTTTACTATTAAGCTCTATGGCATTTCGAGTCTAGTGAAAAAAAAATTGAGTCATTAAATCAATAAATTGTAAGATACACATAGAAATTAAAAATATGACACAAATAATAACGGTTTTTTAAAGTAAACAGAATAAATACAACTAAAAATCAAAGAAAAACACCTTTCACATACCCTATAGTTAAAGCAAAGAGATTCTACATATTGTAAACGTGGGTTCACACTTCCGAAACATATCTCAAATTGTTTCACACAGGAGTGAGATGGCAATATTTTTTAAACGATGTTTTCGGCCGTGTAAACCCACGTTACACCTTTGCAGTTGACAATACCGAACAAATCCATCTACCTACTAATCAATAGGGATGCAAGACATTTGCATTTGTTCAATATTAATTTTGGCACTATAATTACTAATGTTCAGATTTAGAATTTCTTTAGTCAATTTCATTCATGAAAATTATTACCATCCGAACATCTATTTATTTATTTTTTAAATAGAAAAGTAATATCGTGCATCCCTACTGAAGATACCAACAAACACAGCCATGAACATAACTTAGCAGTCTTCAATATCACACTTTGCTCCGAGCGACGTCGAACGAAACTCCAAGCTTGGCAGTGGGAAAATATTATAAGGGATCCAGTAAATATATAAAAACAAATAAGATCACAATACAGTTAATACTTACTTAAACTTACCTAAGTGAAATACAAGCGGTGACAGGCTTGCACACTGTCACCCCTATAAAGGTCCTTACACACTATGGCGTCCAATTTCTTGACGCAGATCAAAGCAAATCGACTTGTCTTGTATAAGAGACCGCTTAAATACTAATTTAATTCTACTTAATATTATTTATCCAATAAATCGTGTAAGACTTACAAACTGATTAGTTCACTCTCTCGACGTATCGTTCGGAAATAAAAAGTTTAGCCACATATTTTGGGGCAATTCCTGGGATTATTCCCAACTGCCACCCCACTCTGTCCCCACGTGGGGACAGGAGAGAGTAAAAAGTTTCATCCCTCCCACCTTTTGCGTCAAAGGGACGGTTGGAACTTATTTTATTTCTTAGCGGTTCCATCTGTCACCTTATTGATGATAGTGGGACGGATGAAACTGTTTATTCTCATCTGTCCCCGCGTGATCACAGAGCAGGGTGACGGTTGGGAATAACCAATTCCTAGACTTTTAACAAATTTGGCATAAATTTAAATCAGTTATGTATTACAGTTCATTTCATATTTCAGGAATGTCATACAAAAATGCATTTACAAAATGTCAAAGTATAGAATAAAAATGGATACAAAATATAATTAGAATACGAAATGTCTAGACTACACCTAAATTAAACTAACGACAAATACTGATATTCTATAAATTCCGTACAATATCTGATTTGTCTTCAACAGACAGACAACCGACATTATGACAAAAAGGTCTAATTATGTTGACTGAAAAAAAAAACTAACTCTTTAAATTAGTTAAGTACCGTCAAAGTTTTGTTATGTAAAAATATGTCATATAAATATTATTTTAAAAATAAATATCAAAATTCAAGCTAAGTCACATAGGACTTATCTTAATTGGCATATAAACGAAAATCCGTATTAGACAAATCAGATAGTGGGTGGTCAAATTTTAAATACAATTTAAACATAGCTTAGACATACCTTACTCAATTATACTTACTAGGTAATTATTTACTGGGTAGTATTAAGTAAGCGACTTGTGGTAGACTATTGTGGGGAGTAGGGGGGGCCGGGGTGTGCACAAGGTATTTCCCGTTGGGCCGACCGGCCCACTGATCGTTTGAACCACTGAGATTTTTTCCCATTGGGCCGATCGGCGCAAAATGAAACACCCTGTAGGAGGCGGTCGTCACGCGGGTACACGGTCAAATCTCAATACACGTATTACATAGAACTAGGAAATGTTGTCCGTTAGCGTGGAAGCAAAACCTCAGTCTTGACAATCTGATGTGAGCCAACGCTACGACGCTCTGGAGACTGTGCCGCACTGGAATACAATATAAAGGCGACGTTACAATACAAAGATGACATAGTATCATGTATGGTTAATCAAAACCAATCTTTTGCTAGATATAGATATATCAAGAATCGCCAAAACCACTGAAACTAAACAATGTTTCTAAAATTTAAAAATAGTGCACCAAATGTATTGATCGGACTAATTCGAAGTAATAGAAATGTTTTTGGTAAATAACAATAATTTCAAACTTTTACTTAATTGACTGCAATGTATTGAGGTGCTAAATAACTTACCACACTATTTTACGCTTCCGTAGGTTGCTCTATAGGATCAGTGCGAGGCTCCTCAGTGGGAACTGTCTTCACTTTAATATCGGACACGTCGCCCTCCACTTTCTTCTCTTCTTCCACATTTTCAGTAGCCACAGCATCCCCGTTGGAACCATTAACTTCCTCCTCCTTACCATTCTCGGCTGACAATCGAGAACTTAATTCCTCGTCTTTGCTAACGTCGCCGTTCAAACTAACAGCCTCAGATTCTCCATTTGTTTTACCGTTAAGTTGTGCCTCCATTGTTTCGGTCTCTGTCTTGACTTCCTCCGCTATGATGTTATCTTTCGATTCAACAGGAACATTTTTATCATTCTCTGGACTTATTTCGGGTAACTTCTGTTCTGCAGTTTCGTCTACAGGCGCTGTGGTTTTCTCAACTTCAGTTGTGTTTGTTTCCGCTTTGGTTTCCTCCTTTTTACTTTCATCTTTCGTCTCTGTTTTACTGACATTTGGCACCTCTTTGTCTGTGATTTTCTCCTTACTTTCTTCATTTGTTTCGGGTGCTTTCTCTTCTGGTATTTTTGCCGATTCAGCATTACTAACCTCTTCGGGGACTGGTTCCTTCTCTTGTACGATTTCTGACTTTGGTTCAGTCGTCGGTTTAGTTTCTTCTGCTGCATTACTCTCGGCATCTTCACATTTTTTCATTTCAAGATCTAATTCCGTGTCTAATATTCTATCAACTATGTCGTTATCTAAAGTCGACGTTTCCATGGTTTCCTCGGTTATCGGAGTAAGTAATGGTTTCACCGGTATTGTGTCTAGATTAGTGACGTTTTGAACTTTTGATAATATCTCATCACACTCCTTCTCCAGTACTTCGCCGACACTTTGCAATACTTCCATATCTTCAGTAGAAGTGGGCTCTTCGACGACTGGTTCGATATCATCGATAATTTCTTCCGCTTCTCCTATAGCTTTTTCATTTGTTACTTCTTCGATTTCTGTGATAACAGTAGGCGGGGATTCTTCAACGATGGGAGCAGGCTCTTTGGGCTCCTTCTCTACTTCAGTCTCAACTTTATCTTCTCCTTTTGGCACTGTCGCTGATTCTTCTTTTTCGGTAGAATCAGTCTCCATTTTTTCAACAGTCTCTTCAGTTTCAGTCTTATCAACTTGTTCGTCAATAATAGGTTCAACGTCAGCGATAGGAATATCAGTTACATTAGCGTCAGTAACTTCTTCAACAGTCGTTTCCACCGCAGCGGGTGTGGGCTCTTCTTTCTTTTCATCGGCTTTTTGTTCTTTAATTGTCTCTGCGGGCGCGGATACTTCCTCTACTTCCATCTTCTCCGCTGTCTCTGAAGTACCGGTAACTACCGTTTCTTCGTTTTTCGTTTCAGTGGACTGTTTGTCTGTTAACGACTTTACATCGTCTCCATTGTCAGTTTTTGCAATCTTAGAGGGTAGTTCTTCCTGAAAGATATATGAAAACAATTTGTTCATTCAACGATATAATTTGAATAGATATAAATAATAAAACCATTTAATCCATTCTTATAAAACAACAAAGTTGTTAATATTTTATTATTAAATAGATCTAAGTATAGGGAATAATGTAATCAAAAACTTTAAGAAAAGGCATTCTAAGTAATGTATATATTCTATACTAATTCTAGCATCAACTGTAAGATAGCATAAAAGTGAAAATTATGAGTAGTAAAATATTGGTTAACATTTGTTGAAATGGCAAAGAAAAGCATGCAAAGAAATAAACAGTAATATGAATATAAACTTTATTAATAATCTACATAAGAAGCACTACAATATAATAAATCTACGGTTGTATATATTATAAAAGTTACCAAACAATTAACAAGTCAAATAAACACAAAACATTTTATATACCAGAACCATACTAAATAGAAGCTTGCAATTTAAGTAATTCTTCCACCAAAGCATTACAAATTAAATAATATCAAAACACTGTCCTAAAGGATATCAAGAAAAACATTGTTTAGTAAATACAGGCGCTAACTGCATTTTATTGTCAAAACATTTTAAAGAAGTTGTCTATTAAAATTTTACACACATTGGCAACACTCTAAAGGTAGTTTTATACAGTTACTACTTTAGACAAATTTAAATAGCGTGTACATTTCATAAAATAAAATCCCAACACCCTTTGCCTCAACAAAGTATATAAAAAAACTTTTTACAAACCCTTAACATTACATTTTATTACCAATCTTAGTTACGTAGGCAAAATCGTCCTCCATTCATTATCCTCGATATTGTCATTGAAATAGTTTTTACAGTTACATTGATTATATTAAAAAAGCTAAAGGCATGCATTTGACATACAAGTAATTATTTCTACTACATACTGTATAATAATGTGTATATATTAATTTTATTGTTACATTGTGTTATTTAAGGTAATACAATAAGTAGTTACAAAACTATGTACTGAAAATATTTAAGAACACGGAGTGCATTAAGCACAGGCATAGATACAAAAGCAAGCCTGGAAACCATGCAACTAAGGATTGTTAACAGTAGGCGACTAAACTATGTAACTATATAAACTTATGCAGTGCAAGTTACGGCCGCACTCAGAGTCATTAATAGACCAATAAGAGGGACCAATAGTATATTTAATGGTTACTTAAACATTCTTTTAATGTAGAACTTAATCCATCTATGTAACCCAGATGTATAAACAAAGACAGTGGACATCTATTAGGCTCTTTTTCTCTTATTAATTGTTTTTGTTAGTATGTTTTTTATAGAGACAAATGCCTACCTACACCATCAGACAAGGGAGCTACATGCCTAATGTCGAACTTAGTCTCATTTGTGTTCTATGCTAAATTAAGACCCGTTACCGTCTAAACCACCTTATCTACAAATAGTTTACATACTAGATGAGTGTAAATCTAATGTTGAATTGTTGAGTGATGGCTCAACAACTAAAATAGAAGCTCACGACTCACTGTGCTTGAGTCGATTAGCGATCTCTTTCACTTGTACGTGAGCTGCAGGTTATAAGTTAATTTGAGTTACCTATGACTATTATAGTTTGTTTTGTACTGTATGGAAGTATTACTAGTGTTTATGTATGTGTGTCAGTGTGGGCACCTGTGCGTCAGTCTTGCGCTTGTTGGAGGCGAGCTGCGCCAGGCTGTGCAGCACGGGGAAGGGCGCGGGCTGCGCGGGCAGCGGCGCGTTGCCCTCGCGGCTGACCAGCGCCGCGTGCAGGCCGGCACCGCGCGCTGCTTCCGCCTCTGTACAAATTTCACATTACAGTTCACTTAAACTCGAACCACCTCGGTGCTCTCTCCACTCATTTGCCGTATTTTATTATAAAAAACCTATTTAAACTTTCGTGAGCTATTATCTAAAACAAATTAATTTCGCAGTGCGAGGCGCGACCGCGAAGAAAGCAAATTAAGAAAATCACATCAATCTGTTACATCCTTACTGTCTACAGACTGTAGGGCTCCTGGACATAGTTTTACATAAAAAAGGTCATCACCCAGCCATTAATAAGAATTTTTTCTTAAAGTTTCCCAAAAAAGTACGTAAGGAAACATAGTGAGGAGTATCTCATCTAATATACTATTCACTAAACATAATTTTGAAGATTTATAAATAGCAATAAATAATATGTACCAAGAATCAACGCGCTTAAAGAACACTAAACAAAAATACTTAACCTACCTTTAAGGATATCGGTGAGAAAGAGTATTTCATCAGGTTTGCAGCCAATCTTCTCGACGATTGCAGTATAACTGGCGGGCTCTTGCTTAGCGCCGACAGCAGTATCAAAGTGGCCCTCGATGTGAGGCAGCAGATCCCCCGCCAGCGACTGACCGAAGAGTAACTTCTGCGCCTGAACCGACCCAGAAGAATAGATGTACACCTTCTGACCCTCGACTGACTTCCATTGCTCGAGGGCCGCTGACACATCGTCGTAAACACTGGAATATACAATTACATGATTTTCATACATCTTACTAATATCATAAATGTCAAAGTTTAGATGGATGGATGTTTGTTAAAATTTGTAGTCTAAACTATTGAATAGATCTCGATGAAATTTAGCATAGATGTAGAGGATAGTCTGGAAGAACTTATAGGCTACTTAGTTTGTTTTTAAAATTCCACGCAGACGGAGCTGCGAGCGACAGGTAGTATTTTCATAAGTTACGCTACGAGTCTCGTAAACTGAGGTTTAAAAATATTTGAATAAGAATTTAAAATCAAAAACATATTATGACTGTGAATGTACTAAATATAAGCGTATTCGAATGTCCGTGACCATGACTTGCGTGATAACATTTCAGTACTACTGATTTATTTATATCACTTGTTGAGTTTGTGTAGACAAATATTAATTTTTACACAGTTTTTTAAACATAATCAAATTTTCAATAATTACCATATACTGTATTAATATATCTATACTCATAAAGGGGTAGACCTAGAAAGAGATGGATGGATTGCATGAAAGGTGACATGAACATAAGTGAGTGATGACTGAGATGACGGATGATAGTTATTTGCCCGGCACGCCGACCCTACGGGAGTAGGATAAAGCAGGGAAGATAATGACTCATAAAGAGGATAGATTTGGATATTTGTATGTATTGAAATAAGTCAAAAACTACTAGGCCGATTTCAAAAATTCTTTCACTATTAGAAAGGTACGTTATCAGAGAGTAGACCATTTTTTTTTTAATTCACGCGGGCGAAGTCGCGAGCAACAGCTATTATACTATATTTTCTAACACGGATCAGGTCATAACTAGGTAGACTATTTGCAATGTGATACTATGCGTATGTCTGTACTTACTGTCCTTTAATATCGCCGTTATCGTAGCCCTGCTTCCAGATAAGGCCCTGCAGCTGCTTGAGCGGCCCCGCCTTGCGGTCGATGGACATCTGCCACTTAACACTCTTCACCAACCCTTCGATCTGCTCCTCCTTTTTCGCATCCTGAGAATTTATATACAAACATACGATTAAGTTATAAATTAACGCTGGATGACCGAAAATTGTTTTTTAATAAATCCATCAAATTTCAAAGTTAAGCTTTTATATTTCAGTAGCTTTGGCCTGCGACTCAGTCAGCGTCGAATTAAAAATATAAAAGTGAGTAGCCTATGGGTTCTTCCAGACTATGTTCTAAACCTGCCTCTACCTGTGTCTAACAAATTTAATCGAAATCCTTTCAGCCGTTTAGGCCACAAATTCTAACAAACATCCAGCCAGTGGGTTATTTTTTAGCCTAAACGGCTGAACAGATTTCGATGAAATTTGCCATAAATGTAGAGGATAGTCTGGAAGAACACATACGCTCCTGGCATTTGTTTTTTTTTATTCCACGCGGGCGAAAGCTAGTATTACAAAGTATGATTGCGGTTTATTCAAAAGTGTATCAGTTAGAAGTGTAACAAACTCACCTCTCCAGGTATAGCGACGACTCCTTCGACGCTCTTCTCCTTGTCCTCTATCGCGAGCTGCCGGAGCGCGGCCACCGCCTGTTTTACTTCTGCATCATCCCATTGGCCCTCCAGGAACTGCTGCACCTTCTCCTCCGCATACGGGAACAACTTATCCTATAGGAATGATACGATTATCTACATTAAAAAATAGGGTATTTTAAACAGTTTTTTAATCAATACTACCTACCCTAGTAATTAGTGTGGCAGCTATTTAAATACTAATTGGTCTATCTACAACTTTACCAATCGACATATTTGTTCGTAAATATACAGTTCAATGGATATTGGTTACAGCTGGGATAAGAGACCGTGACCCGTGCGGACGCCGACCCGTCGTCGTGCCCATTACTACGGTATGCACGAATGACAAACGCCGGTATTAAAACTTGCAAATTTATACGCAAACACGATACTAAAGCTTAGGAACTTATACAGACACCCACAAGTTTGTAAAGTGAAAAATATATACTGAATTCGACAGGGTTTTAAGCTCTTTTTGACCGACTTCCCAAAAGAAGGAGGTACTCAATTCGTCTGTTTTTTTTTGTTTTTTTTTATGTGTGTTACGGCATAACTCCGCCGCTAGTGGACCGATTTTGATAATTCATTTTTTATCCGAAAGGTGATGCTTGCAGGTGGGTCCCATTTTTTGTTTGATTTTAAATTAACAATAACTACCAGATCTAGGACCCAACCAGGCCTTAAACAGAAACCTAAATGAGCCATCAATAATCTTGCTATATAATTACTACTTTTTTAATCGTAGATTCAGAACAGTAATGTATATGTACAAAGCTGAATTTCTCGTTCAAGCTTTTCTTTCGCAGTTTATATTCTGAGTTTTCGTTTACCGTTTAGCTTGTATATCCTTTATAGGACTCAATTATAAGATACTGTTTTTCGAGCACCTAGAAACCAGCACTTAAACATGTTCTTTTCTAGAGCATAGATAGCAATAGAACGGATATAGGCATAGTTGACAACCGACCTTAATAAGTGTGGGTCCCGCATACGAATCGTGTAACTATCGGCGACATTCCAGCAACTAAATGTAGTATAAAAATAGAGAAATCGCCTCACAGGTATCATCCAGCTTCCATACGGACACAAACGAGTCTTGGATTACACCGCGGCATAGGTACCATATATTTAAACCTATGTAGGATTATCTTGGATTAAGTTTTAATAGATTTTAAAACATTGCAGGGAGAATTGCCACAAGAAATGAAAATACCTGAATATCCCAAATGTATAGGTTACTACCAAAAAGAATAATAATGTAGCCTTCTATTCTGAAATTTAATATAGTGATTAATATGTCCCTAATTTCAGCGTGCCTCTTGGCATAGGCCTCCTCCAAACTCCTCCACTGTTTTCTATCTCGCGTAACCAATAATAATAGTTAACGCATTAACGACAAGGTGAAATTAATCTTGATTTTATAAAGAGCCGTACATATTGGCAAGCAACATTATTTTGTACTAACTGTCCACGCTATGAATCATTAATTAGTTTTTAAAGTTGTCACTAAGTTAAGTTATCACGGTCTAAATCAACACTAAGGGATACCATTTAAGTCTGAACACAGCTGTAAGGTATCTTAAACAAAGTACCCAATTTTTATTTTGCAATCCTAATGTCATCTCTCACGTTAACATTATTATTTTAAGAGCTCATCGCTCTGTAGCCACGTGTACGCGGTGCGATCAATAAAGCCAGCCTGCGTATTTGACGTAAAGGGAACACATTTCCAAGAAGTACCGAGAGTGGGTAGGCCTTTCTTAGAAATTTAACGGGGAAGTCTTTAGGTGAAATCTTGTATACAATTAACTTAGGTAACAGGTAGAAATACTGTAAATATACAATATCCAAATCAAAATCAATCCTTAAAGGTCCATAAATTGTGATCAATTTGACATCGGCTATGAAATTAGCAAGATTATGATCAAATTTAACGTTTTATAAATCCGATTAACAAACAGAAAAACAAAGTTGTCTCAAGACCAGATAATCTTAGAGGTTGTGCAAATACTAGTTAGATTACAATGTCTTGAACTCCCACGAACTCTACGACAATAAATGAACAAGTGTTTAATTGCTAAAATAACGTCAATTAATTAGCGACAGTACTGCTGTTTCATTTTTTAAGTATAACTGCAGCAATTCGTGAATCGTAGGAATGTCTCAGAAATATGCTCAAAGAGGATCGTTGCTCTACTGTCGCTCTAGATTCTGTAGCTCCAATGAGCTCAATCTCAATAGATATGTCATAATTTAAAAAAATCTTTATATCAGATAACGTCTTAAAAATAGGGGGGTACAAAAAAAATCTTTGCGAAATAAGATTTATAGCAACATTCTGTGACCATTTACCATTTAAAGTCTTTATCATTTAAAATCTAAAGTCAAGCTAACTTGTAGTAAGTTAAGAGAAGAGAAACTAAGCATATTCGAGCACGATGCGACCGAGGTGAAACTGCATTGGTTAGCAGGTGAACGAACTGGCACAGCCGACTATCCAAACCGGATAGTTGGCCCGGGCGCGCCTGTAGGGCCGGCTAGACGCATTGTGCACACTATGTGCTCCAATTATATTGCCGTTTCGCTGGATAATTCGCAAACGGGACCTCATTATGTATTACGCTTTAGTCTCCTACATTCATGTAACAAAATTAGTCGCTAACTGAGATCCTTGGTGAAGATTTACGATAACCAACTTAAAACAGCGTTAGTGAAAAGACTGAACTTAAATTATTGAAATTAGGGTTTTTAAAACTATAAATTGTTAAAGTTGCAAAAAAAAACATCCTGTTCACCTTTTGAACAGAAAAATTTCACCGGAATCCGTAAACAAATGAACACAAAGGTATAAAAGGCAATACTTCTCCGAATTTTATTTTACAATAGCTTTTGCCCGCCAATTCATTTGCACGGAATTAAAGTAAGTAGCCAATGTATTTCTCCAGGTTATGATTTATCTGTGCTCATTTTTATCGAGATTCATTCATCAATCTATGCCAACTCTCGCTTTTACTAAGTATGAAATACCTATTAAAATATGATGGCATAAAAACAGTTTCCGATGCGTCTGTATCAGACACTTCCAAGAAGATAACAGAGCGTAATGGAGAGCTTATTTTATTCCAACCTTTTTGCCTAAGTTTTGAATCCATACTTCTATATTAATATTATAAAGAGGAAAGATTAGTATTTTTGTATTTCGTATTTATTGAAATACCTCAAAAACTAATACGCCGATTTTAAAAAATCTTTCATCGTTAGAATGGTTATTCATTTGTGAGTAACAGGATTTATTTTTTATCATTTCTTAATTTTACGAGGGCGAAGTCGCGAGCAACAGCTAGTTACCTATAACTTAGTTATAACCTGTACTACGGTAAATAATAACAGCTGAATGTCGAGACAAAAAAGATACGAGACGCGAGACATAATGAAGGCGAGTCGCAAAAAAATCACGGTCACTTTCAATGAATCAACAAAGGAATTCTATAGTACTGTGCAGGTAAACTTACGAAGCAGTCTTTAAATAAAGAAAAAACGAAATCTTCAACTCTTCCAATTGTATAGGTATGGATAGTAATAACGATTTTGGATTGGATATTGTTTAATTAAGTAAAGGTACAATTAACAACAAAAATCTTTTTTTGTCTTAATACATTACAAAGTATACTTTTGTGTGTATAGTATAAGTTTTCAATTACTTTTCTGAATATAAGATCCCACAAAAAATATAAAAAAAACTGCCGAGTCTCGCTTTCCTTACAAAAGTGTATAGATGTCATGTAAAAAATTGTATTTTCAGTTAATGTCTATTATGAAACTATGGCAATTACACGGTGCTATCGTTTCGAAAGAAAACCTCTTGCTATTTACCCCATTTTTATCTAAACCTAATTTTCTTGCTAATTTGCCCTTTAGAATGAGGTATGTTAATTTAAAGCTTAATGGCGCCGTGTTGTCTATACTCTATACTATTTTATAAAGCGAAAACAAGTGTATTTTAGTATGAAACGAATAACTAAAATCTACTTGACCAATTTAAAATATTCTTCATTATTAGATAGCTACATTAACACTTAATAACATAGGTTAAATTTATCTTACTAATATTAAAATGCGAAAGTTTAGATGGATGGATGTTTGTTAGAGTTTGTAGCCTAAACTGCTAAACGGATCTCGATGAAATTTGGTTTAGATGTAGAGGATAGTCTGGAATAACACATACTTCGTTTAAATTCCACGCGAACGGAGTCGCGAGCAACAGCTAGTATTTTATATAGTTTAAAAACATGTCCGACTTTCCGTGGATGGGTCGCTAGATATGTTGATAGACATAACATCTGAGGCGTACTAACGTCTGCGGAATACTCATAGCTAAGTAAGTATATCATCTAGGTAACGTAACTTTAAACGTAAAACAACTTTCTATAGATTTTGATTACCACTTACACTTTAAATACTAGAGACAATCTTATGTACAGATACCTGTAATCTAGAAAATTAGCTACATATTTTCAATAGACAAGTTATCTTACTATGATAATATTTGTAAAAGTTAAAATTCAGGCATATCTCTCAATCCATTCAACAAACATGTCTTTATGGGTTTAAAGAACATTGGCCTTTTGTTATCAATTAATGCGTGTGGCGTTGTTGACATTTCACTAATTTTATTCAATTACGGACGAATTCTGAAACGCACCTTTAACACCCCGTAAGTTCAAAAAATAAATGTACAAGCACACTGTATTAAACTATGCATAACCATCGTTTACTTTATTACCTGACGTCAGAAGTCTTGTCTAAAAGAACGCTGTTTTTAATTAATTTGCAAATAAAAAGCACACACACGAACAGAAAATGGGAACAAAATTACTTGTAAAACACGCCAAGGGTCAAAGTTCTCCGCGCGAACAAATGTATATCTTATCTCTTCAATCTAAAGTAGCTTTTCCAATAAATTAGTGACAATATTCGCTTTATAAACCGGCTTATATGAAACGGGAGAATTTTGGGGTCCATAATAAATGGGTCTGTTGTATTTAGGACGAGAGGGAGAGATGTTACTCCCGGTCCTAACAGGAAGCTTTATCTTGCTATAAATACAATCAAAATGTTACATCAATCGAATTATATTAAGCTAGTTATTTTAACTTTAACGCAAAACGGTTATATCGAGGGATTTTTCATAGTACAAATGGTTACCACAAAATAACTACCATACCACATTCCATGTCACTACAATTTTTCACGAGTAATAATAAAAAGATGGCATGGAATGGCCAATGAAACAAAAGCCAGCTATATTTAAGTACTTCCTTTTGCCCTAAATGTTAAAAATTAAAGTAAGTAGTCTATGTTCTTCCAGACTATGTTCTACATCTGTGCAATATGTCATCAATCTCCATTGAGTCATTTCAGAAATATAATCTATCCATCCATTATTAAGATATACATGTACCTTTATATTTGCACCAAATTAAAGCATTTAAACAGAATAGTAATATCCCCTTAGCAAATCATACCTATATTATAAATGCAAAAGTTTAGATGGATGGAGGGATGGATGTTTGTCAAACTTTGTAGCACAAACGGCTGAACCGATTTTGATGAAATTTGGTATAGATGTAGGTAATAGCCTGGAAGAACACATAGGCTACTCACTTATTTTATTACTTGCAGATGGAGTCGAGGGCAAAAGCTAAAATAAAATAATATTACACCAGAAATGCATTCCTGTAATTTATCATTAAAATATTTTAACTAGCAGTGAACAATTAGCTGGGAACCGAGATTTTATACAAGATTTAAAAATGTATCAATCATTCAAAATAAAATGTTGTCTCTAATCAGTTACTTCCAAGTTTACCTGTTCATCAATTAAATGTTGCAACATTGAGATTTGATCTAAATATAACTTTAATATGGATGTTGAGAAGGAAGACAATCCAGCAGTAATATAATAATGAAAATTAATAAATAAACCAAAAGAAACAGCTTTACTCAGGATAAAACTAAAACATTATTTTACTTTAAAACAAACTAGTGTAGTTTTGCCTAATTATAAAATGGATAATTTTAAGTATACATTTCCAGTTTCTTATCAAAGTGAAAGCAACCATATGTACAAAAGTACCTCATGGGTTAATTTAATTGTCCTAGACAAGCTTTTGTCTTGAATAAAAACAACAAAAGAAAGAAACCTATGTGTTCTTCCAGACTATGCTCTACATACATTGAGCCGTTTTGGAGATAATTTCTAACAAACATCCATCAATCCATTTAAACTTCCTCATAATATTAGTAAAGTGATATTATTTAATTAACAGAAGAACCAAATCAACACTAAAACTTTCGCCAAAATTTGAAAAAAAAGAACGAAGTTTTAAAACCATGTTTCCAAGTTAATAAATATAGACATTGTTATACCAATGCCTTGTAAGATTTTTTCACCAACTTAAAAACAATAAAAAAAAACCGAAGTAGTAAATAAATGTTGTAGTATCAAAGCTCCAGCTTACAAGTACAGCATACCTTTAAAATTATCAAGGCATTGCACGTAACATTCCTTACATTATTCATCTCTTTCATGATTTAATAATTTTGACACGAGTGCGACTGAGACAGGCATACATGTCGCGACGTCTATTCAGAGGAGACAGTTAAATGTTCCACATTTTTTTAACTGCCAGCTGCTTCAAACAGCTGTTTGTACCGGTATTGAGTTTACTTGATGAATTGTTTTACGCTTTTCGTTATTTAGGTAAAAAATTCACAAAACTATGATCCTTTTATTAAGACGTTGTTTAATACAGTAATTAAGGTCAAAAGTTTTGCAATCGGACTAAAAAGAAAATTAAAAAAAGACTTAGAGAGGATCAAACTAAACAATGATTTCTATGATTAATTCAAAATATTCTAAGTTCACGGCAATCGCGAATCAGACAATGAGAGCACTGGAAAGGGGACCATTTTGATTTCGTCCTCCATGTTGCGAATCTTGAAATGCGACATTAACACACCCTATTTAATCTGGCGTAGTAGTTAGCATCCAGATTGAATTCAATAACAAACACAACATGTTTAATTTACTAAAAACAGAAAAAAACACGTGTTGAAACAAAACACCGGCCGGCTAATTTTCAGACCTACCTTAACAAAGCTGATCGATGTTGTTGTCCCTTCGATGTCCAAAAGCAAAATTTTGCATTTTTTAACGATATCAGCAATTTCCTTAAGTTCATTCGCCATTTTAATTGTACAACCTGTACCAGGTGTACTTTGATGAGATTTATAATTTTATTCGACTAGAAATTCGTCCACGCCACACTACTACCCCACACCACAGAAAAAAAGCATTGATTGAACGAGACACACGACGAACTGAAGGACGCGCGGGTGCGGGTTCAAGCGAGAACGAGATAACAGGCTTATGGATAAACCGTAGGTGGGAATGAGACAAGTTAGCGGAAGGATACAGCTGTTCCAATGCTCTAAACATTCTGAATTCGCATAATATTGCCATGGTTAATATTTTTAGCAAATTGTTTTATTGTTAAATGAACGTATAGCTAGTTATTACCTAATTAAAATTAACAAATTTATATGCTGACGAATTTAATTAACAACATGGGTTAAATCTTATTTCGCAATATAATTACTAATGTTTGTTCCAGTAGTGAAGGTACTTTTGAAAAAAAATCTTGTGTTACTGTATACATACTCATAAACAAACAATACAAGTTGTTAGTTATGTAAAGGTAATAGTATTAGCAAGTTTTGTATGACCTATTCGAATTTTCCTGATAGCTAACACTTATTCTTGCTCCTTATTATTCCCGGAAGCTTGGCTAATTTTATCTTTGGGTTGTTAGTGAGGTTTTCTTATTTAATTTTAGTTTTAAATGTTTTATTTATTTTCCTGTTGAGGTCTTCAATATGACCAATTTTTACAACTTACCGTTATTTATAGTTGATTCACAAATCCACCACACTGAACACATCCTTTAGCATTAGCTTGATTATACGAAATGAGTTATTCAATAAAACATATTTACTAGGAAATTTTTTCGTTGTTTTTTTGTAACAAAAACACCCACTGTTTGACAAAAATTTATTCTTAAACGCAAGTAGGAAAATAAAATATAAATATATGAACAGTAAGCACATCAATTATTTATTTTCTTATGTAATATTATTCTAAATTTAGTTATTTAACCTAATCCGAGGTACTAGAATTAAACATAGTTTATATGTACAATTATAGCTTAATATTTACTAGCTGTTGCCCGCGATTTCATCCGCGTGGAATTAACAAGTACAAAAATCTCTATGCAAGATTCCATTTTTCTAAGATCGGTAGTTTGAGCTGATTAGGTAATCGATACGTTCGTCAAAAAATATACACATTATGAGTCAAATATAAAAATAATTGTGGGTATCAAAATATTACATTTAAAAAATAAGTTGACAGGGGTAAAATACACTTTTTTGTTAATAATTTTTTTGAATTAACTTCCTAGGCACTTCTAAGCCTAATTTCGATGTTAAAGTGTTGGATTTTTACTCCATGTTATCTCATTTTTATAAATTAAAAAGTAATAGGGATATTTCTCAAGTTTGGCAACAGTATTGTAACTTAAAAATATTTATCCGTCTAAATAGTCGAATAAACTACTCCGCGTCGATTTTTGTTTTTCCTCGGCTTTCAATTTCTTTATCAAAACTGGCGAAGGTGCGGCAGTATCGGCTTTTCTTTTAGATACCTGCGAAAATAAAATGGTTTTTTTATTAGGAATCCATAACAGGCCATGGGAAATGGGATTTTGCGAAGCAGACGACGTATCGGCAGGGAAAGTGTCTCTTATTATGTACTCTGTAATCCTTCTATACATGCCCTGCCTAATAGAGGTTGATATCGCAACTGCTACTTCTAATTTGATACAGGCCGCTAAGCACTTCGCTGTTTTAGTGAAATTGAGTTGCTGATAATTAACTTATATTTTAATTCTTGTCTATCTACAAACATCATTTGTTCTGGGTAATTTCCGTAATGGCTGGACCGTTTTGGACGGGAAAGTAGCTGATGTAGGCGGGAAAGTCAAGGTGGTAAAAAAGTTTGTCTAGCATTGTAATACCTTAGGTTCTATTTCATCCTGCGACAAAGCGGCGAATACGAAATTCCTTCTGTTCGTTGATGACACTTTAGTGGTATCACCGTCTCCGGCCAGCGGCGCGGCGATGGCGGCCAGCCGCGCCAGCGCACCTTTACCACGAGACAGCAACGAACCGTGGTAGTTTTGCTTAAAAAATTACATATATAAATTAAAAATCTTAGCGTATTTGACGTATAAAAGCAGATAATCTTGTTTTTATTTTTATCTTTTAAACGAGACATACCAAAATGTAGCAGATGACTAGGTAAAAAATGACATATCGGATGTTTCTCGTAAAAACAACTTTGCGAGTGTCTAGTAGGAATAAGGGTCCGTTAACATACCGAGATGGAGCAGATTTGATTTTTATCGCAAATAAAATTAAACTCTAATCGATTTAAGTAAGGTTTAACTTTAATTTGCATTTAATCTGTTCTGCTCCCATCTATGTGAACGGACCCTAAATCGTACCTTGAAATGGGTGCTAAAATAAGTCTTAAAAAGATATTTACCTGAAAAATAGCATAGGGTTTCTTTGGACTTGGTATATCTTTATTCGTCTTAATTTCCTGAACCATTTCTTTTTCCTTATCCTCATTGACAGCTTTATTTGACTCTGGGCTTATAGCTTTTGAGCTTAGATTGGCTTTTATTAGAGCACTTCTATTTATACTAGTATTATTGAGATCTTCGTCCTCTCCTTTCTGGAATAAATATCAAATTTACGGTTAAGGCATTTGCATCTTTGTTCATACTTGATATATTTCATAAATATTTGTATGAAACAAAGACAAATTTAATTTATTTACAAATTTCTTTCGTCAGAATAAATTATATTGTCACTACTGTTTTTAACAAAACAGATCGTAAAATTAATACATACAATAATTTTTTTCGTTAAAAATCAGATTAGCTACATAATAAAAAATAAAACATTTTTCTTTTTTTTTTTATAATACGAGGTGACAAACGAGCAAGTGACCACCTGAATTCACCGAAATGGAAAGTGACCGCTGCCCATAAACATCCGCTATTGTAGATGCGTTGCCTACCCTAATTGACGGAGGAGGCGACGCACAAAAAGAGGACATTTTCCCTTCCTATGTATCTCCTTCACCGTCTAATCCACTTTTTCCTCCCATCCTTTCCTCTTAAGAAAAGGGTGGAAAGGAAAAGGAACTAAAATTAGGCCTCCGGCACCACACTCATCAGACGAAACGCGGAGTTGCTTCCACTTCACGCCTGTTTTCTATGTGGTCGTGGTATTACACCGGGCGAGCCGGCCCATTCGTGCAAAGACGTTAAAGCGGGCTCTACCACTGTTACATTGTTCGGAAATTACCATTTTCCTTAAGAACATTTCTCTTTCGTGACGCTGCTTCCTCCATAACTCCTCCGACTCAAATTCCTCCTCCTGCGTGTCAGCAAACTCCTCCCCTGTACCTCCTTCCTCCGGCTCATCTGAATATTGAAATCAAATATATAATGTGACAGTCCAAAAAAATGCATCTATAACAATATCACTTTAAAAATTGGTCAGACTGAATTCTATTTGAATTTAAAATTTTCTAAACAAATAAATTCCTGCGTGATTTGATCACTTATAAGGACCGTTTTTTTAAATTGACTTTAATGTCATGTTTCTGCTTTCAATTTATTATTAAATAAATACATAAATGTTTACCAGCATTCTTCCATCGGAACTTTCGTTGCCTGTGCCCCTCGCCCAAGTCTCCGTCTTCGAAAAGCAACTCCTGCAGCAATCTTACTTCTCTCTTGTCTTGGTCGAGTACGTCCCTCCTGCCAACAGAATTTTATGATTACCATACACAAGCTGTTCTCGTGCGGCTTCGTCCGCATGAAAGTATATAAAAAAAATGTTTAAATTTGTGAAATATGCAATTGCAAATGTCAAAATTCAAATTCACAAATGACAACGAAGGCCTTTGACCTTCCTTGGTGTTGTCAGCTTGTTGCTTTTGTCCTTTTCATATGGCGGTTTGTTCAAAATAAACACCCTAAGTTTAATAGCTTGAAAATATACATAAAGCGTGTTGTAAGTGTAAGGCTTTTTATTCAAAAAAGGTTTTATTCAAAAACATGCTGTGATTTCTGACATCTTACGCCACAAAGATGTGTGTGTTTATTATATTAGTATGGATATATAGCAAACATACATATGTATTTGTCCCAGCTCCTTCCTCAGCTTGCCCTCATGGAAGACATCATCGTCACCCTCCTCGCGCTCCATGCGGTCCAGCCCCGCCTCGTCTTCATCACCAGACCCCATCCATTCATCTTCTGAAGTCAGTTCCGCTTCCTGCTCGAAGAACTCGCCGATTTTCTTCTTCTTTTTCTGAGGTTGTACTTCTACCTAAAAAATGGTAAGCCTGTTAAATATATTGAATGCAGTAAAATCTGTATTCACTACCTATACATTTGGTTTAAGTCGTCGCTATTGAGTCGTCAGTCGTAAACTATTTGATTAAATATATTTCAATTTGTTCAATTTGTTTGAAATTTCCATTTACCTCATTTTCCTCAGAGTCATATTCTACAATTCTTTCAACATCTTCTATATCGGAGTCAAGATTTTCCTCATTATCTGTTTCAAGATCTTCTGGTTCTTCAATTTCTTCTTCGTCATCTGAAAAATAAAATTTAAGGAATCAATGTATGATTAAATATAAATCATACTGTGGAATTAAAAAACGAGAAAGTGATTAGCCAGTTTTCTTGCAGATTATGCTCTACATCTCATCATCCACTTGCCCTTATCCCTTATGGAGGGTCGGCACAGTATGTGCTGCTCTTCCATACATCTCTATCAGCCGTCATATCTGAATCCACTCCTTTCTTAAGCATATCTTCCTTCACACAATCCATCCATACTTTCTTCGGTCTTCCTCTTCCTTTGTAGCCATCCACATTCAATCTCAACACTTTCTGGTTTATGTCCCCATCATTTCGTCTTGCTTATGCTCTACATCTAAGCCAAAGATATAAACTCTAACAAACATTCATCCATCTTAACTTTCGCATTTATAATAAAGGTGAGATTAGCAAGAAATGTAAATGTATGTAAATATCAGATATAAAAGCACTATTTTATAGGTTGCAATAAAATAAAAACTATACAAAAGGTAGGCAGTGTTTCAAATATTTTAGTTTGAACATATAAAACATGCCATGTTTAACTAAACAGTGTCTAACTTTATGTTTTGGGGTAATCTATCTTAATATTTTAAAGAAAAAAGATTTGCATTTTTAGATTTTTGTATGTATTGAAATAACTCAAAAACTATTTGACTGATTTCAAAAATTCTTGCACCATTTAAAGCTATATTATCATTGGTAACATTGGTTATATTTTTACTTTTTTTTTCACTCGGGCGATCTCGCGAGCAACAGCTAGTACAGAATATATTTAGTTTTCACATACCTGAAAACTGCAATGCTCTTTGTTCAAGCTTTCGTTTCTTCTTCTTTTTAATGTTCTCAGCATTACCTTCGTTAAATTCATCATCTGAGTCTATTACTAATTTTTTCTTAACACTTTCATTAGCTGTGCTCTGTACATTTTCTTTATTTTCAACTGAATCATCATTAACGAAATATTTCAATTTCTTAGGTGATTCAAACCGAGGATTATCTAATTCTTCTAGAATAGAAGATAATATTTCTTTTTCTTTTCTTCTTGCATCTTTTTCTAGCTCAGTCATTCCATCTTTGTTATTAATTTCTTCATTTGATGGTTCTTTATTTACGTTATCATGTATGTCGTCATTTGATGATTTTTCTTGATTTATATCCTCAATCTGTGACACAAACGGGTTGTCGTAAAATTTTCCTGTACACATCGCTAATATATCATCACCAATTTCCTGTGACTGTGTCGGAGTTATCAATTCTTGAGAATTAATGTTTTGTGAAGCATTTGTTGTGTAATTCACATCCATAAAGACATCCTGAAATGTTAAAATCATGTATATTAGTATTTTAAAGAGGAAAAATTTGTATTTTTGTATCTACTAAACTCATCTATTAATAACTCAAAAACTAATGGGCCGATTTGAAAACATCTATCACTATTTAGAGCGCTACGTTTTCGCTGAGTATATGTTTAAATTTCATGTGGAAAGTCACGAGCAACAGCTAGTATTAAATACCAGTAAAACATTGAATATAACAAAACTGTAACTATGATATAATGAAAATGGTTATACATATTTTTTTTTACATACTTGACCACTGCAACAAAATACAAATTTTTGCTTAATTCGCTAAAAGTCATGGACAACAGCTAGTAAATAAAATGTATACTTACTCTATCCTCTATGTTTGTTTCTTTACTTAATAAATCGTCGAAACATGTACCATTTGCTGTATTCGCAATAGAAAATGTTTGACTACCCAAATCTTGATCACAATCGATTCCTTTTTTAATACTATTTATCTCTTTAACAGTAACTTGAGATATAATCTCCTCTGACGAAGTTTTAGGTACTTGAGCCAATTGTAATTCTTCATCTGAAAAATGTTAAAAAAGATGGTTTTGTATACACAGATTTTAAAGACATCTTAGATCATGCTTTAATAATATTTCCTTTATACGCATTAAATAAAAACAATGACATTTTCTAATTCTAACATTATAAGGAAGTGTTTATAATTATTCAGTACAGACATTATTCAATAATACTAACCTTGAGTTGAACTCATATTTAAATCTTCAGTAATTTCATTAACTTCAGAGACCTCATTTTTCTTATCACACTCCTTATCCTCTTCAGTCTTATCTTCATCATCTGAATCTTCAAATGCTTTTAAAATCCTTCCCTTCTTAGGATTACTATTTCCTTCATCATCAGATTCCGAAGACTCATCTTCACTAGAATCTTCATCGCTTGCATCATTGTCTATTTCATTTATTTGATCTGAATCTTCACATTCTGGCGCATCCTCAACATCTGATTCCTCTGCTTCTTCATCAATCATCGGGTTTCTCTTCCTCGGTTTATCTTCAATTATACAATCATCCTCAATGATTTCTCCACTTTCATCATCAGAACTTTCTTTACTAATATGACTGTCGTTTAGTTGTTCCAATTTAGCTTCGACTTTTTCAATATCATCTAAATCATCACCTCCAATTTCATTTAATTCTAATTGTTGTTGTTTTTCTTGTTCCAGTCTTTTTGCCCATTCTAAAGATCTCTGCTCTGCTATTTGCTCTTCTAGTTCTTGTTTTAATTTTAAAAGTTGTACACCTGGTTTATATCTACAATACAATGGTTTAAATTTTATTGCTATCTTTTATAGTATAAGTTTATTTTTTCATCTATATTAGTAATATGACCAATAATTAAATCCACATAATCACTACCAAATTATTTGGATTCAAAATTTAAGAATATTTGTTTAATGACATTTTAATTTACATATTCTATATACTCTACAACAAAAGCTACTTACTTCTTCTCTCTATCCTTTTCTTGTTCTTCTAATGATTTCAGTCTTGCAAAATATTTAAATCTTTCTTTCAATTGTTCAACTCCGGAAAGTTTACTCTCACTTAAAGTATTGTCATCTAAATCAATAACCATTCCTGGGGCACCAGTTAACTTTGGTTGTGTAGCTAATGAAATGTCAGTTATATGATTATTGTCACCTGCAAGAAAAGTACATAAAATTAGATGAACCATAAATAATGTTTTGTGGAATTATTTCAAAAATACCTTTGTCTCGAATATTTTTAATCATAGCATCTATTTCATCAAAACTAAAATCATTATCTAGAAATTCACTCTCAATATTATTGGAATCAATTGATTCTGTATTTATTTGGTTCTCATTATTAATGTCTTCATTGATTTTATTTTCATTTACACTGTCAATTTTCTCTGAATCATAATGCAGTTCCATATTTTGGCTGTCATCTTTTTCACTATAATTTACAACAGCATTGTTAATCTCATTATTAGAAGAAACTTTTTCACATCCCTCTAATATTTCTTTGTTATTATCTGTAGATTCAATTTCATTCACATTTTCACCACTTTCAGTCATAGAGTCATTGTCATTTGAATCTTTGGCGACGTCCATATTTTCTGCATTTATTATACATTCTGTTGATTTTAAATCTTCAATAGTATCAGTTATTGCATTGTTGATTACATTATCATCTACTATTTCCATTGGTGTAGTTTCTGTATTTATTTGAATATCTGATGTCTTATTTTCTTGTTTTATTTGAACATCTGGTAAGTCATCAGTCTTCTCAGTCTCATCATCTTTCTTTTCTTCATCATCCTCTTCTGTATCACTCTTACATAACTCCATCATCTCTTTTTGTCTTTGCTCCAACTGTAAACTATTAGAGATAAAGATTAGTATATTTTAAACATTATACATATTTATTTGTAACGAGCTTTTGCCCGCCACTTCATCCGCGTGAAACTAAAAAATAACAAAAGTGAATAGCGTACATGTTCTTCCTATCTATACTTTATACCAAATTTCATCAAAATGTGTTGAGCAATTTAGGCTACAAACTCTAACAAACATCCATACATCTAAACTTTGTATTCTTATTATTAGATAGCATTACTAGGTTATTACACATTTACATAAATTACATATACATATATATACATATTACACATTTAAATTTTTTATGACATATTTATATCCCTATAACATAATATATATAACTTACGCATATTGCTCCAATTGTTCAGGTGTCATTTTAACAGACAAGACCTTCCCATCCGGTGCCAGGGCTGGTTTCCGTCGGCTCATAATATCTTTGAGTGTTAAAGCCTTTGGTCTATGGTATGGAAGTGAAACTTCCTTTTCTCTTAGCATGCGATTAGATTCACTTTTTATCTTCTGCTTATTTTCCATAGCCTGTTTTGCTGATATCTGAAATTTTAAGTCATATATAATTAATTTTATTTATCTTAAACAAAAAAAAATGAATTTCTATTTGTATTATGCTAGTAGTTGCCTGTAAAAACTTAAATTAGTAGCCTGTGTGATCTTCAAACCCATGTTCTACATGTTATGCAATACATGTTCTTTATTTCAACAACATTCTCTCAGATTTTCTGGAGATATGGATCCAACATCCATCCATCTAAATTTTTACAAATGTAATAATAGTAAGTAGTAAGATTCAATATAATAAAAACATTTCAATACATTTAATGAGTATACCTTTACAGGTTTAGGTGATGTTAATCTAGTAGACTTGATGACTGATTTCTTATTATGTTTTCTAGACCTATCATCTTCATCACTTGACGAATCAGGATCACAAATTGCAGATATTTTCATCATATGTTTATCTTTAAAAGTCTGAAAATACATAGTTTTTTTAATATAAGTTAACTTAAATATTTAACCATTACAGTTAATATAAAGTTTCATTTTTAGCATTTGTGCTGGCGGCACAGGACTGAACATTTTGGCAACCTATGGAGGAGGCCTACACTTAGAAGTGGACAACCTTAGGATAATTATGATGATTCAAAGTTAAGTTGATCTTTTATACTTCACTGCAATAAATTAATTTGAGTAAAATTTGTATTTCGACATACTACCTGCTTGATTTTGTTGCATGAAACCTGTTCTTCTTCTGACTCGTCTAAATTTTTATTGTTATTCAGGTTGGCATTTAATTCTTCATTTTGTGAATCCATGTTCAACTGTTTGTCTTGTTTTGAGACTAAATTTCGAAATTTCTCTCTCAATTTATTCTTCTTGTTTTTAACTCTGCTTAAATCATATTTTTCTGTTGCTTTTTCTATTGCATTATCATTCAAGTCATCGTCACTACTAGACACTGTTCGAATTCTTGACTTTTGTTTACTCACAGTTTTTTGTGTACTGCTCTCTTCTGGGTCACAAACCTTGTCATTACATTGATGTTTTTTAAGACCATCATATTCAGACTCACTACTGCTGTCTGTGAAGTGTTGAACACGTCTTTTCGGTCTTACCACAGGGGCATCATCGAGTTCGTCTTCAGACTGCAAATTGTCACCATCGCCTTTGAAGCTGTCTAATGTATCATCCGCTGAACCATCTGGTGATGCAGTGTTCACAAGTTTCTCGATTATATCATCTTTAATCGAGGTATAAAACAGCACTTGGTCCGTCATATTTATTTTGTAATGGTTTCTTTAAAAATATTTACTTTATGGGCAAACCTAATTAAAACTTAAATAAATATATATGTTAAATAATGTATTTGAACTTAAGAAGTAGTACTCAAACTCAAATAATTCACATTCAGGATTTCAGGACGTCGTTACCGCCAATTTTGGTTTGTAATTTATTTGGACAATCGCTGTCAAATGTCAAACGTCAGCGTCAACCATAATCATGAAGATAAAGATTATAAAAGAAAAAGTACTAACACATGTAACATCTATGATTTACCGCATTCGCTTTTTGTTTTGCCATGGGACCAAATGGGACTGTTGACCATTGAAATATGTAAAAAACCTTATCCAGGACTACGTCCTTTGAAATATCTTGGCATCCTAAGGTCATCTTTGCGTTATGTCTTACGCCTTTTATTATTTTGGGCAGCCTCTTAAAATGTTCCGAGCTATAAATATATTTCAAGTCTTTTTTTTATAATGTAAGGTGGCAAACGAGCAAGCGGCCACCTGAATCCACCGAAATGGCGAAGCGACCGCTGCCCATAGACATCTGCAATTGCAGATGCGTTACCTATCCTTATCCGACGGAGGAGGAGACGCACGTAAAGAGGACATTTCCCCTTCCTATGCGTCTCTTCCACCGTAAAATCCACTTTTCCTTCCCATCCTCTCCTCTCAAGATAAGGGTGGAAATAGAAAGGTACTAAAATTAGGCCTCCGGCACCACACTCATCAAATGAAACGCGGAAGTGCTTCCACTTCACGCCTATTTTCTGTGTGGTCATGGTATTTCACCGGGCGAGCCGGCCCATTCGTGCGAAGATGTTAAAGTGGGCTCTATCACTGTTAAAGTCTTCTTACCAAGCATAAAGCAGCAAGGCTTACAATTTCAGTTATCAAATTACTACTTTTGTTCTTAGCTTCCTAAAATAAATTACAATTGTTTTATTAATAGCCATTTAATTTTATACTTTTAATAATATTATAAATCAACACGTGTTTGCGAAGGACATTTCTCGATTACGATCACGAAGTTTCATGGGTTTTTCTTCAGTTTTCGAAAAGTCACAAATAACAGCTTCTGCGGTAGTAAGTAAAGATGCAATGCCACTAGCATCTCTTAGTGCGGTCCTCACTACTTTAGTTGGATCTACTATACCTTTATCATATAAATTAACAAACTCATTATTTAGTGCATCGTAACCCCATCCATTACACATAGAATTCACTTTAGAAACGATCAGTGGTGCTTCGAGCCCTGCATTTTGTGCGATTGTGAAACAAGGAGCATTAAGAGCTCTTTTGACAATCTCTATTCCAGTAGCCTGGTCTTGATTGCTCGGTTTTATTTCTTTTAAATCAGGAATACATCGTAAATATGCAACACCACCTCCCGGAACAATGCCTTCAGCAATTGCAGCACGTGTGGCGCTAAGAGCATCGTTGATGCGATCTGATTTTTCACCAATTTCTACTTCGCTACTACCTCCTACAAGCAAAACAGCTACTGCAGATTTTAACATTGATATGCGTTCCAATAAGCGCTTCTTATCAAAATCGCTTTTTGTATTTTCAAACTCCGCTCGAATCTGTTCAATGCGCTGTGTTATCTCCTTCTTATCACCTTCTCCTTTAAGCATCAATGTCGAATTTTTTGTAATAACTATTTCTCCAACTCTGCCTAGACTTTCTAATTGGCAATCTTCAAGTCGGATCAAATTAGCATTATCTTCAAAAACGACACCTCCTGTAGCTGTCGCCATATCTTCTAACAGATTCTTTCTGTGTTGACCTATACCGGGACTTTTAACGGCTACCACTGGTAAACCAATCTTTAATTTGTTAAGGACTAACACAGATAAAGGTTCTGTTTCATAATCTTCGGCTATAATAAGTAATGGTTTTTTATGTGTCCCTGCAATCTCTAGAGCAGGAATAATTTGTTGGGCAGTAAATATTTTCTTTTCAGAATAAAGAACAAGGGCGTCAGTATACTCAACCTTAGGCCCCTTAACGGAATTAATAAAATAAGGAGAAATAAATCCTCGTTGGAAAGACATCCCTTCAATTATTTCTAAACCATTTTTTAAGGTTTTACCTTCTTTAACTGCTACAACACCATCTTTTCCTACGTTATTTATAGCTGCTGTAATAAGTTTTCCAACAGATGAATCACCATTGGCAGACAATGTAGCGACTTGTTCTATCTCTTGAGGGGTTTGAACTAATCTCGACATTGCCTTTAGTTTTTCTGTGACGACATCAACAGCTAAAATAATACCTTTTCTGATTTCAATTGGATTTGCGCCTTTTAAAATACTGTCGGAACCTTCTTTTGCTATAGCACGAGCTAAAACTGTAGCTGTTGTGGTACCATCTCCAGCTTCCTCGTTAGTCTTATTTGCTATATTTTGTAAGAGTTTCGCACCAATGTTTTGAAATTTGTTTTTCAACTCTATGCTTTTAGCTACAGTCGCACCATCTTTAGTTATTTTCGGTGGTCCAAATTTTTGTTCTATAATAACATTGCGACCTTTGGGTCCCAAAGTCACAGCAACAGCGTTGGCAAGAACGTCGACTCCTTGAAGCATTACCGATCTAACATTGGGGCCAAATTTAACTTCCTTCGCATAAAAGCGTTGTGTGTATTTATATGTTTCAGGTTTACTGTTTAATCGTAATACAAAACGTAGATGCAGCATTATGGCTAAAGTTCAAAATATTTTTTTTGAATTTTATACTTATAATGACAATACGATTTGGAAAAATAGAGCTTTAAATTGTCAATATTTAAATTTAGAATTACGACAAAGATGAAATAATCGGTTTATATAAAGAGGAATATAAAAATTGTTTTTTGTTTAAGTTTTTATTTACACATTTTGGTTACAAGTAGCAGCCATAACAGTACGTGTTTACAAAATAAAATTATGAGCTCACCCAAAGAAAGATTTTAAATCATCAATTGGCGGGCAATGTTGGCCAATGTACTGATGAATTCGTCCTATTCTTTCAAACCACTATTAAAATATAAATGTACGTATTAATGACTTAATAGGTGATAAGTAATAAAAGCATAACTTGAGAAATATATAGAGAGACACTTTTATTTTAAAAGAACCAACTCGATCAGAAAATAAATCACATTATTATTTGAGGTTTGCCAGGAAAACAAATTATCTCGCTATGTTGCAGAAAACCTACGGAATTTATTTTCGTGTAGTATAATAGTATATAAGGGTACAAACATTAAAAAACATCGTTGCCATGGCATTGATATTGTTGATTATCTTTATAGTTTGCCAAGGATATCATACCTGTTTTTGTCATCTATAAAATAAATTAAAACCGCTAACAATATACAGAAATACTGTTTTAGAAAAAAACCGTTGGCAAATAAAAATTTTACCAGACAACAAAAGTCTTGTAACTTAAATCCACGAAACAAAGGATAGAGAAAATTTTTTTATGCTGTTGAGTATTGTTCTGATATTCGTGATTTCGAGCCCCTAGCCGATTGTAAAAAAAGTATTCTACTAAAATGTGTAGTTTAAAAACTAAAACCTTGGTTTCAACATTAACACAATCGTATTTTATGTTTTCGAGATATTCGAATTAATGTAAATTATTAAAGAGCTGTGAAGGTCTAGTGCCTAAACTACTCAAATAGAGGTTGGAGTTGGATTAAATAGTGAAGAGTTTATAAAATATGCTAAAATATCTTATTTCCAACGAAGGAATTGTGGTATTTCATTTTACACGTAATTCCAAGATCAGTTCAGTTCAGTTATTTGTCTATAGCACTCCCTTAGCGGATTGGGCCAGATTGGGCCAGATAATTCCAAGAAATCTCCAATTAAATTAAAGTGAGTCAAGTAAGGATTGTATTTTAAATAATATTACTTAAATAGACGAAATGGCGTGGACATTGAATATTACTATACCAAAGGACATGTGGCGCCCTCATGACAGAGATGCTACATTGCTGGTCGGGCTATACACATTTTTACTCTTTGATTTTAACGGTCTGAAACTTTTAAAATTGTTACTTTTGTGTTTGTCATTTAATAAATTAACTTTGACAAAATAAACTTTTATCATTATACTTTAAATTCTGTAATAGTAACTTTAATCGAATTAATATGAGTGCGACTAAAGCATCAGTGCCTATTATTATCAAATTAGATATCGGGGACCAGTTAACATCTATTTCGTGTGGTCATATTGTTGTTGAGTTAATAAAGTTTATAGCGTATCAAAGACTGCAAATACCTTATAGTTATCAATGGCTTAAGCAGGTTGTCAATAAAAAAAAACAATGCGTAGAGGTGAAAGATTCATTCCAGTCGGAAAAACATTTTCACGTTGCTTCTACTGCTTTGGATAATTTAGATTTCATCATCAAGGTAATGTAATGAAATTTAGCTAAAAGGGCATGCAAAACTTTACAATTTAACAATTAATAGACCTAAGCACAGGTAATTATTAATTAAATTACTTTGGTGCTTTTGTTAATTACAATCTGTAAATTTTAGAGTCTGTTGAAGGAGATAGATGGACCAAGTGTACCTGAAGAAGTTTGCATTGCCCTGGGTGGCACACCAGACACAAGTAAGGAGGTTTACCGCCTTCTTCTACCAAGTTATTGCCATAAGTCTCAATGCCATTCTAAGCACATAGCATCAGATCAGAGGATACAAATGAATGTATTTAGGTAAGCCTTTTTTTTATTGTTTACACTCTACAAAACTTTCATTTGTAAAAGTCAGATTTCAAATGCTTAAATGACAATTTAGGCTAACAATTAACATTACGTGGCAAATCTTGCTTCTTTGCTTGGCATTGGCTTGTAGTTTTGCCCCTTAGTAAAAAACAATTATTCAAATATATGCTGTGTGTGGACATCCTACATAACAAAGAAGTGTGTGTTTGTTTGATTATGTTAGTATAGATTTATTATTTTATTTTTTTTAATGTAGAAATGAATAAATCCATTCTCAGATATTTAAATATGCAACATTTTTGTTTTTATCATAAAGAGAAACATTATTTTTGCAGGACTTTGGTTACGACAGATGTATTGGGCAAAGTTTTTCAAAACACATTGCCTCCAACAAACATGCATGTGTTACTAAAGAAGAAGAATAGTACATGTGATGTTGTGTGCACAGATAGTTTTGTCTTATCTAATGGTTACAGATTGCCGCGAAGTTCAAAGGTTGTTGTTATAGATTTTAGAACTGAGAATCATGAAAATCTCTCTTGTTGTAATAATTTTTCTGTTTTCGAGGAAGTTATTAGTAAAAATTTTACTGATTTAAAAATTTGTGATAATGAAAATGATGCCGAAGATTATAATGAAATAGAATCAAGTAGTACAATGACTTGGTACCAGTCTTGTTATGTTATGAAAGGCTTCAGAGATTGTATAGTTAGTGGAAGCTCTGTAACAAACAAATGGTTACATTTGTGACAATAGTTCTTACTTTTTATTGAATGTCATCACATGATGATTACTCTGATTTAGAAAAATTTATTGCTTTTTATGATTTTTCATCAAAAGACTTATTCTACAGAACCAATACTTTATATTTAAGATATATAATAATAGAAGATATAAGCAAAAGGCTTCTTTATTAAAAGTCTTAACACAAGTATAAAGTGAATTCTCATAGGTAATATTTAAGAGTACAGTCATATTCATTTCTTTTATTTGTTGACTAGTGGCTAGTTTTACCAGTTGTGCCATATTTTTATCAGTTGTATTGACTGTTAGTTGAATTTAGACAAATTTATGTTTCATTTGATTGCATAAATATAATCAATTTTACAATAAATATGTTAAATCATTAATACTTGTTTTCTCTTATATTTACAAAGAAATCAGTCAAAAACCAACTATCCATTTTAAAATAGTTATTATCTTTAAATGGTTATAATAAAATTAAGGTTTTTTTACATATGTTTTTTTTTTTAAAGCATGTGTAAATTTTTATTAAATTCATACTATAAAGATTTGTGACTATAACTTAATATTTTGTATCACAGCTTTACCATCACCAAAGATTGTTCTTTCTCTATAATTAATACAGACTTTATTCAAAGTCTGATTGTCAGATCTAACTGTGCAGTTTTTTCTCTTGCATTTCTCTAAGGCATCATTAAATTCTACTATTAATTCATTTCTACCTCCATTTGGTGCGACAACATATTCACACTGTATTGATTTCATAACCATATCTTTTAAACAACATTCTAATAATTCATAATATTCCAGCCAGTAATCTTTTGGTAGATGCTTTAATTTTATATCTAGAAATTCTGTTAATATACCTGTCACAAAAATATCATCTATCCAAAATTGACCATGATATGGAGCTTCTTGAGTAATAAGAAATGCAATATTCTTTGACATTATATAGTACCAACCTGATAAATATGATGGGTAGACATTTCTAGAATATTCTTTTTGGGTGACATACCATTTGTTCTGCTTACTACGTCTAGGTAATGTGTTATTCAACATGTAACCTATAAGTAGATTTTTCTCATGCCTTATTTTCAACATGAAGTTGTAAGTTTGATTTAAGTTGAATACAATATCATCGTCAACTTTAAGTATAAATGAAGTATTACAAAAGTTTGATGCCCATTGTAGTCCCATAAGGTGTTTATATGTTAAGTTTCTATAGTCTTCTGTGAAGCCTCCTTGTAGAATATCACCAAAAATTTCACTCTCATCATATACTGCATTTTGTGTAATATATCTGTGGAAAAAAAAAATTTAATGGTAATTATCATCTTCCCTATCTTATCCTATTATCTAGGATTAGTGCACCAGGTTGCGTCATCCAAGAAACTCTGCTCTTTCTTGGTCATGTCACTTTTCACAATTCACAATCCATCCATCTCCTTCTCTTCGACACTCTCATAATAATTAAAGAAATAAAAAAGCTGAATCAATCCAATGCCAAATACATAAGTACTTATCTAACTTACGTGTCCATTATAATATTGGTTTAACAAAACAGAAATTACTTAATAGTAGTTTACATACTTTTCCTTTCTTGGTATTTTTGCTAGGAGGAATATCCTTGTCGCATTCATAGATTTTAGACGCTCCGCTGACATTGCTCTACGATGGGCACTTCTAAGTTCAACATGGCCCACATATGATGTTACAAGAATAATAAATAGACGATTTACTGTAAATAAAAAAAATAGGAGTAATAGTTTATAGGATTAAATAAGCAATAAATGTATTTTAAAACTTACAATTACAAGTTTCATTGGGTTTTATAATAATCTTCCTGATGTAATGATTGTTTCCAGCTATTACATTCATTATATTGTCATATTCTTTATTTGAACTCTTATAGACCCAAATTATTACGCTTAATAAAATTAATGCTATAACAAATGTCTGTTTTTTGCGCATTTTAATTCGAATATGTTTATTATCATTACTCTAGTGTAAGTTTCAGAAATTGCAGTTAGAATTTAATTTGTCCCGCTACACAGACGGGCACGGGTACTTCAGGGTAGAATTTCCTAACATGATTACAAATATCTTATTCAATAATGTTTTTATCTCCATTAAAAATTAGAATAAACTCTACTTTTTACGAATACCAAATATATCAACGACTTAAGCAAATGTCATTATGTTTACTGACGGTTATGTCACGTAACTGTCAGTCACATTTGACATTGCGTGATGCCATTTTGACAGTGTGCGTTCTGAGGCTAAGGTTAGGGCAAAGGCCACATAAAATCCTATATTTTTGGAATATGATTTAACATTATCAAAAAGGGAGAAGACTCAGATGGCGAAAGATCGATTAACCTCGACTACTAAAACCTGTGCAGACGGGAGGATTCTTTTTTGAAGTATAAACTATAAAATTATGTAAAGGATATAATTATACACAATAAATAAATAAATTTTAAAACATATCGAAATATTAAAACCCGCATAAACCAACAATATACATAGATTTGTTTGCAGTTAAGAAATACATCAAAATGGGGTTGGTTGCAACGTATGTTTACCAAGGTGTATGTGAACTAATACAAAGACTGGTATGATGTACATACATATAGTACAGAAAACTAGTTTATATAGTTCTTTTTATATTTATTTGAGGTATAAATACAATATAGCTGCATTATCCACGAGCAACATCTGCTGATAATGCGCGACAGGACTTGTGTTGTTGCTTAACAAACAACAACATATATGTAGAAGCCATACTGCATTTACTGACAGACAAACAATTCTACAATCTAGTTACGTACACAGCGCTCGGGTACAGGCGGTGTCGCGTCAGCGCGTGCAGTTCCTCTCGGGAGCGGCAATGGCTAATTGACGCGTCGCTGGTAGGCAAACAGCCGCTGTCATTTTTATCATTAATAATGAAGTCGTTATCAAGAGTGTGTCGGGCAACTGCAGAGACCAGAGGGCCCGCGTCAGCTCAGTCGTGTGGTAGACGTTAAGCAAGCGACGTCAAGCACGTGAACTAGCGTACGCGCAATAAACACGATTGTTGTTTTATTACACTCGAGACAGACAAACCTTCAAACATGGATGTCGAAGCTATAGTCAACGACCAGGGCGAAGTACTGAGAGCGAAGATCGTCACTATGGTTACCCTTTTTGGTGTTTCCATGCTTGTCGGATGCGTGCCGATGTTGATTTCAATGAAGTTCAATTGGTTCACGAAATCCACCGGACCCAATATGAGATCTTCGAACCGGCTGGTGATCGGACTATTGTCGTTTGGTGGTGGCGTTTTGTTCGCAACGACTTTCATGCATTTATTGCCCGAAGTTGATGAAAACATTAAATTATTACAAGGTAAGTTATCTTTTTTTCTTTAAGTGTATGATAAATTCGATTTATATATTTTTTTTTTATAAAGGAAGATGTACTCAATTCTTATGTGATATTAAACGGTTTTTTGTTATAAGACATTATTGAAAACACGGTAAACTTTGGATTTAAAAGGCGCGCATAAAATAAATGTTTTTTTTTAAATGATTCTGATTTCATGTATCTAAAATATTCACATTTCATAATTTTGTAGCCTAAACGGCTTAATGGATTTTGATGAAATTTTGTCTATAGATATCCAAGTCCCAATTAAGTCTATAGGTACATATAGCGAAACTATAAGTACTATAAGTAAGTAGCCTATGTGTTCTTCTTTATATACCTTCTATACTAGCTTTCGCCCGCCACTCCTTCGGCGTGGAATTTAAAAAAAAATGTGTAGCCTATGTGCCCCCATCTTCTAATTCTATACCAAATTTAATGGAGATCCATTTAGCCGTTTAGGCTACAAACTCTAACAAACGTCCATTCATCCATCCATCTAAACTTTCTCATTTATAATATGATAGTAGTAAGAAGTAAGTTGCAGAGTATTGTTTGGAACAATACATAGGCTACTCACTTTTATTTTTTTTATTAATTCTACGCGGACGGAGTCGCGAGGGATAACTATAATTTAAATAATGATTCGTGTATTTAAATTGCTATTACAATGCAAGTTATGAAGTGTGTAATTTCACGCTTCTTATTTACGAGAGGCGTTATCACAACTTACCTAACACCGAAAAAATTTTACGACAGGTTTTAAATATGTAAATATTATCATAGCTTCTTGAATAAGGATTTATAAAGTTTTGTTTTATTACATACAGATGTTAGTGAGAGATGGAAATATAAGTAACATGCACATATTTAATGTTGCAAATAATAATAGCTTTGAAAATACAGTATCGATAATGAAATAAATTAGAGAATAGATATCGCTCAATTTCAAAAAACTAACATTTTGTAATCGAACTTGCTTTAAGCGTTAAGTTACGAATTATCTTTTCAACATTAACAGGAACGCTATCGGTTAAAAAGATACAACACAAAGGCATTTATTATCTGTGGTTAATATGTTGACATGTATTTTTTATTTAATCCCCATTAGTTATGATAACATTGCAGGTTCTTTTTTAAGTATAGTATTTGTTTAAAAATACATTATCTAGTCACAAGTTGTTTATACTGTGTGCAATTTAGTTAGCCTTCGAAACCTCTTCATTATCATATTCAACTAAATAGGGAATACGCTAATTCCTCGGGTCAGCTGACCAGTTGGACAAGTTTATGTACCGGTCCTATTGCAATAGATATTTGGATATGAAATTACTATTCCTTAGTAATTAAATATATTGACACTAGATTTTACCCACTACTTCTGTCTAAATAATTAAAAAATCTAGTTTAGCGATAATGTCTTTTGAAATCGGTCCAGTAGATTTTGAGTTATATATATGTCACATACAAAAATATAAATCACTAGCTTTTGCCCGCGATTCCGTGAGCGTAGAATTAAAAATAAACAAAAGTGAGCCTAAGAGTTTTTCAAGACTATGTTCTATATCTATGCCAAATATCTAGATCAGATCAGCCGTTTAGGCTACAAACTCTAACAAACATCCATCTATCCATCCATCCATCTAAACTTTCACGTTTATAATATTAGAATGAAGTATGATTCCTCTTTATAATATTAGCATTAGTGAAAAACAATGCCAGAAAATCTTATGGTTGCATTTACTCTACCTTAAATAACCGTGTACATAACCTTGTAATTTCAATCTCGATGTATTTTGAAATAATTGATGTTGGTAATGATGACATTAAATTTTAATTGGCAACACAAGTAAAATATCTCGTATCTGTGTTTCCGTGCCGTTCTAAGGCAGCTAACGGAAGCGGCCTCTTACAGTCTACTATCAACTTGTCTGCCTTCACACACATTAATCTTTACCAGAAATAATGAAAATACACCGGCAGAGGTAGAAAGAGATGGATGGATTGCGTGAAAGGTGACATGATCAAAAAGGGAGTGATGACTGAGATGACGTATGATAGAGTTATTTGGAGGTCAAAAACCAAAAAGGAGGATGATAATGATGACATGATGAAAGTTTTTTGAAAACCATTACCGGCGTGAAAATCTACTGCAGGTCACCAATTACTTTAACGATCTATTATGGAGAAAATGATAGGTATTTACTAAAGAGATTTCATAGATGTATTTTAAGTATTTTCGTCGGATAGGTGAATATGTTTTGACCAGTACAGATTTCCCCTCAGCATGTATGCTGAAGCTGTACAGCTTCACGAGGTGCGAGAGTTTTTCTAAGATTATTATTTGTTTCTTTTCATTGAAGTGTTCTGTAATTGACTTGACCAGGTGTGAGGTGTCAATTGCATTCTTCCTGAAAGTATAGTCAGGTTTATTGTTTATATATTAATCACTATTTGTTATCATGATGATCACTTGATTCATTGAATCGTGAAAGTGTAACAAATAAACACGTCTTTAGTAACTTAGGATGAAAATTAGGTATCACATCTGCGTTTGATTTGATTTTTTTGTACTAGCTTTCGTCCGCGACTCCATCCGCGTGGAATTAAAAAAACTAAAGTGCGTAGCCTATGTGCTCTTTTAGACTATCCTCTATACCTACGTCAAATTTCATCGAAATCCGTTCAGCCGTCTAGGCTACAAACTCTAACAAACATCCATCCATCTATCAAAACTTTCTCATTTATAATATTAGTATTTAGTATATTAGTATTAGAAAATAGTATGATCTTAGTATGATATTTTTCTTCAGTACCTCTGATACGGTTATCTATGGTGGTCAAACGGATCAAGGTTAACGAAAAAGGGCTTTTGTGGACATCGCAAGGAGAAGGTTTCACTCTCTGCTTTACTATGAATTTAGGATTTACTTCCTTATTCTTAACACAATTTGAGATACTTTTGCTCCTAATATAATTATAATTTGAATGGTTTCATACGAGATACAGAAACTTTGTGGGAGTATTTTCTCAATATATTGCAACATCACTGTCTTTTGTTAAAACTATTGTTCTGTCTTTATCTAGTCGTCTGCTAACCGATAAAGTTGTCGATTATTCATAAATACAGATAAAATATTAAATGCATCAGGTTGTAGACCTTACTTTGAAAAGATGTTAAGCCGACATATAAGTTCAGGCAAACGTTTACAAGCGCCCTTTTTATATGTTTGTAGGGAATTAACTCAAAATATACCCTAATGATGTTGTAAAATTCTTACGCCATTTTAGTGCTATGTTGCTCAGTAACGTAGGTTAAAAGTATTATAAAATTGTTAATAAATATTTATAATAATTTAGCAAATTTAAATGGCTACAATTCTTCCATACATCATTTTTATGTAAGTGTTATAATTTAGGCTACGTAAGCAAAGAAAGCAAAAATGACCCCAAATTTCGTCACGCGATTTTGAACTAAACTACTTAACTACGACGTAGTATTTGATTCCAAAAATCAACCAAAAAATGGGACTCACTTGCAAGCACTACCTTTTGGATAAAAAAAGAATTATCAAAATCGGTCCACTAGCGGATGAGTTATGCCGTAACACACATTAAAAAAACATACAGACGAATTGAGTACCTCCTTTTGGGAAGTCGGTCAAAAATGGTAAAAAAATCCGAGTGAAGCCGGGACCCGCTTCTAGGTAAATTATAAAGAAAGTCAAATGTCGTGGGTGTCCTACTTTCTTATCTTGTATTGAACGTGTAGTAAGATTAGGATCAATGCGATATTTTAATAGGATTAAGTAAATTATATTTGGATGTTTTTACATTTATTTAGGACAGTTCATTGGCTTATTGTTGGCTCATTGTCATCAAAGATTTGTGTTTTATAAAATGCTGCTCCATAGTTTTGATTATAAATTACGTAAACATCAGATTTGTTAAAAACCTTTATGAACAACGAGTTTATGTTGCCCGCGACTTCGTACGCGTGGTATTAGAAAACATACAAAGTATAAAAATACAAAAAGCTAGGTATCCCTCGGGAACCGGACATTTCTCGGGGATGAAGCTTTTCCCATGTGTACTCCAGACTTTGTTTTGTATCTGTGCCAAATTTCAATAAGATATGTTGAACCGTTGCAGAATGATCGAGTAAACATTAAAAAACTAAATTAATGAATCCCACGGGAACCGTAACTATTCCAGGGATAAAAGTAGCCTATGTGTTCTTCCAGACTATGCTCTAAACCTGTGCCAAATTTCATGGAGATCCGTTCAGCCGTTTAGGCTACAAACGCTAACAAACATCCATCCATCCATCCATCCATCCATCCATCTAAACTTTCGCATTTATAATATTAGTAATATTAGTAAGAAGTAAGATTACAAAGATTTTGTTTTCGTTAAACTCATCTTTTTACTGAAGTATAAGTTAGTGTCATACGTAGGTTAGATGTGAAGTGATCTAACTTAGGTGCGCAGTACGACAGTTACCTATGTTCTCTTAATTAATGCATTACAATGAGAACGCTGTCAATGTTTATTCATAAACTATAAATGCACAATATAATTGGTACAGAAAAATAGTTAAACAATCTCAAAGAATATCTCCTAAGCTATTCCATTTCGTATGTTTAATACGATATTGATATAACAGAAAACGTAAAATTATTTTTTTTGTGTAAAATAAAAGACGGTTGCTTGAAATTTGACTACAATGCTATAAGATTTAGGGCCTGTCCCACCTAATTGTAAATTATCCGATGACGTCATTTCTAATCTATCTGAGCCTCTATCAGCCAGTAGTGGGACAGGCCCTTATTGTTATAAAATCGTAAGTATACGACAAAAATATTAATTATACTATATATGTTTGTTCAATTTATGCGATTCATGTGTAATTTATTATCAATTATTTCGATTAAGGATAAGCGTTTGATATCCATCTATAATTTGGCAATAACAATTGATTGGGCAATACGGATTATTTTTATCGACAATATCTTTACCTTTTTATCAAATAACTCAAACGAAATGCAAACAAACACGATATTATTTTATTCGTTGCTCTTTGAATCATTCTTCACAACAGCATATTCTTATATTATTTTTATATAAAGAATAACTTTTGCGCGCGACTCCGTTCTCGTGAAATTACATATTCAATGCTACATACTGCTGCTCAGTGACTCATTACTTCTTTATATTAATGGTTCTTTAGAATATGGTGGATTTAGTTTTTGAATATTAGTCCTATATGATAGAAAAGGTTCTTAAGGATACTCTGAGTTTTCTGTTCGAGATATAATTGCCTTATAATGTAAATAAACGTGTTAGTAGCCACACCATTACAATTAACTACAATATCAATTTTGAAGAACTATTCCACGTAAAGCCTACTACATACGACCAGGGCCCAGTTCTAACTGAACAATATTGACCAGTTAAAGTTGTCAGAGTCAGAACTGAGCGTCTGCAGCGAGCTTACAATAAGATACTCCGTTCCTTCCTTCTGTCATAAGATTAAATCATTACGTCTCATCTTACTAATATTATAAATGCGAAAGTTTAGATGGATGGATTGGTTTGTTAGCGTTTGTAGCTCAAACGGCTGATCGGATCTCCATGAAATTTGACACAGGTTTAGAGCATAGTCTGGAAGAACACATAGGCTACTTTTTATCCCGGGATAAGTTATGGTTCTCGTAGGATTCATTAATTTAGTTTTTTAATGTTTAGTCGACAATTCTGCAACGGTTCAACATATCTTATTGAAATTTGGCAAAGATGTAAAACAAAGTCTACATGGGATAAGCTTCATCCCCGAGGTGTCCGGTGCCCGAGGGATACGTAGCTTTTTGTTATTAATATAGTTCGTATGTTTTCCACGCGGAGGAAGTCGCGGGCAACAGCTCGTTAAATATAAACTAAACATATGTATGGCTTGTACATTTTTAAAACGTATAAATCTTGAACAAATATGTACGCATGCGGTAAATACGGTAGTAATGATTAAATGATTTGTATTTTGTTTTTTATATAAATGAAAAGATATCATTTACGACTTTATTATAAGTTTTATAATGAAACGTCTCTGAAATTTCTAAAACAATTTACCAATCAAGACTAAACCATTTTCATTATCTTCATTTGAATTTGAAGATTTTTAGAGATAATTGTGTCCACATATTTGTCAAAAAGATGTTTTTGCAATGTGTTTCGATAGAAACCCAGTTAACGTTATTATTTTATTGCAATACTAGCTTTCGCCAGCGACTCCGTCCGAGTTGATTTAAAAAAACAAAAGCCTATGTGTTCTTCCAGACTATGGTCTACATCTATGTCAAAATTCATAGAAAGTCATTCTGCTGTTTGAGCTACAAACTCTAACAAACATCCATCCATCTAAACTTTCGTATTTATAATATTAGTACCGGAATATCGATCAGAAGCACGTTTTGCTAGTTATGTAAGAGGGAAGGATACTTGAGAAAATTAGAAGCGGAGTCCCCCTAGGTCATTTAAGCACCCATAGCTTCTAGATGTCTTCAATCAGGGCAAAGGATGGATTACTTTTATGGATACATTATTATAACAAAAGTACATATGACTCGAGATTTCCTTTGTTTTAGTGTGTTTTTGGTACATTTTTATTCTATCTTATTGACTTTTGATAATTTAATCAAACAAGCTTAAGCACTAAAACGTCATTTATTTGTAGATTTTTAAATAGGTAGTTATTTTATTATTTTAAAATATGGATAGTGTAAAAATTCATTACTATAGAATCATTCATGCTTAATTTACTGTGCTCTAACCTATTACGAATTACTGAAGGTTTCACAGTAAGTAATGCCAATTTCGTTCCTCCCGCTTTTTGATCGACTGACAGGATGGCAATGGAATCTTTAATCTGTGGGTAGTCGTATCCTCTCAGCTTCACACTTTCATCGTTACTCAAGGTACTCACGTACGATTTATCTGTATATCGACTTAAGATATGACACTCAAATTAAAGGATGTATTGTACTCCTCTCTCGTACAATGTAAGACAAGATCTGTCAAAGATTATAAATTTCTCGAGAGTCATTAATCCAAGATAAAAAACATTGACATTTGCAACAAGTTATTTTAAGATTTGTTTTGACTTTATAATTCCTTTAGATTTCTATATTTCTATTAGATGTTAAGATACAAAACAATCGTTGAATATTATGAACTTTACATAGGTTTAAAAATTACCCAGTTAATCTTTAAGATTGGGGTTAAATTCGCATTTTTTTTAATACTTACACTTTACTTTTATTACACTTTTGATGTTTTTAAACTAACGGAGCTTAAGTAAATAATAATAATTTAACAATTCTGAGTTTAAGTAAGAGTTTTAATTTTCCAGAAAGCGGCGAACTGCGACATCTACCGATATACCTGGCTGCACTGATTATGTGCAGCGGTTTCTTCATGATGTACTTAGTGGAAGAACTAGTGCACGTCTATATCAACAGTCGAGAAAACAAAACAGCCAATACAAGTTTCACGCGAGTACTGAGTATCAGGAGGAGCAGCGAGGAAGCTGCTAATATAGAAGAGAAGGCTGCAGCCAGCAAGGAGGTGGAGGCAGCAAGACATCATGGCCATAGCCACTTAGCTATGGACCCAGCGGATGACACGATTGTCGCAGCATTACGTGGTCTGCTCATTGTACTTGCGTTGTCCATTCACGAGCTTTTTGAAGGCCTAGCAGTAGGATTGGAGTCCTCGTCAAGAAATGTTTGGTATGTTTTTTTCTTAGATATGTATAAGCAATTTTTTTATTTGGTATATGTATTACGAAAAAAAATATTTCTAACTACGTGTCAAAAATGTAAGAACGGAAGCTAAAAGATTTATCATCAGTGTATTTTTGTCAAAGAAGATCCACTTTATGATATGATAATGATGAAAGTGTGGTGGGTAGTCACGTAAAATTTATCTGTCGTTTATCACACATTGATCTGCCACTCAAATTAAATCGTGCAATCTCTGTTCATCTCGCTAATCTTTGACGACTGTTTAGGCGAGAACTGTCAAAGATTAAGCAGTTATGAAAACAACGAAAGTCGTTGCATTAAAGGTTCTTAGATCTACATATAATGTACATAATACCGACACCGATATGTTATAATGAACAGTTCATTAAGAGGGATCACCATATATTTTGAAAAACGGTATTGCAGCTGTGGAATATAAAGTAAATCGTAGAGATACAGCCAAAGCCATTACTTTCTTGTACTATAGTTATATATTTTCAATGATACGAGAGTAGTGTTATTTTGAAATTCTCAAGAAACTGAATATTACATCTGCTGCTAACATAAATAAACCATTATTAAGTAATCTTTTAGTACTGTAGATTGAGATAATGGAATGGATTTACGATTATGTTCAGCTTAAATAACCAATAAACTGTACCGAGTGTAGTGTTTATTCTTTGACAGTTCTTTCCTGTTAGGTATTAAAGATGAGAGCAATTTGGATTCATTTATCGGAAAGAGATATTTATAACCAGATAAATCGTACGTGGGTACTAAATCAATAAGAGAGGCGATCAAAACGACGATACAGATTATTATGAGCTTATTTCAAAGAATTTATCAATCCCTTAATAATTTTTAAGAGACACATTAACAAAGTTTTTCCTTTGACGATATGGAATTAATGTCATTAAATTTATTTTTATTAACAGTTAGAAAAATTGCATTATTTAAGTAAATATTAAGACATGGGATGTTGATAATGTTAATATTTAGTTCGCATACTCGTAAGAATTTATTCTGAGACATAGTGGGTGTAGTTGTAGACAGCATAGATTTGTTTGATAAACACTATGTCTACAATAGTGACAGATTGAACAGATGAAAAGTAAAATAAAATTACAAAAAAAAAATCATGCGAAATAGTTTAAGTCTAACTGGCGTAAGTGGCCACTAAGGTATTAGACACTTAGTCAAGATTTAGTGCGAATAATCTTCTTTAATCAAGTATAAGCAACCTTATATTGATCAATAGTCGTAATAAAAACCCTACAGACTTACAAAATAAGTCATTATACACTTGTCATTTGGTAAGTCTAAATTGATATATTTTAGTTTACCTCTTAATATAACTTAATATTTTGTCCAAAGTCCTTATTTTACAATTAAAATAATGGTAACACTAGTGACAGCAGTTAATCCAGATGACTTGTCTCCCGCCCGCGCTCCCAATCTTAATCAAAGCTGTATCCGTCCTGATATTACGACGTGCAAACGGGAATTCCTACGAGTAAATATTTACGAAAATAGTGCGAAACGGAACGTAAATATTTTTATAAAATTTCAGTTACATACTATGGTACTAGGTTATTCGTTCAGAAATATTACACTTAGGTCGTTGTTTTTTTTTAAACAACACAATACTTTTTTTTAAATTCAAAATAGCCTACCTGCCTACCAATAAGTTAGTCGAATCACTTAATTGATTGAATGGTACAAAGACGTATAAGAAGTTTGCCTCATGAAAGGTTAATAGCAGGGCCAGTCAGTACCAAATTAAGGTTAGAACAAGAAAGCTTACGCTTTTTAAGGTTAGGACATCCATTTAAGTATGTAGCAATAAAAAATGTCAAAGTATATCAACTTCGAATCTACAGTATACTTATTCTCATATATAACATACTAGCTGTTGCTCGCATTCTTGCCCACATGAAATAAAAAAATATAGATTATGTTATTCAGCGATAACGTAGCTTTTTAATGTTAAAATCGTACCAGAAGTTTTTGAGTTATTTCAATTTATGCAAAAATACTAATCTATCCTCTTTATAATATAACTATAGATTATTATCCGCATTTTTCTTTTGAATTATGAGCGGTTAGAGGCTTGTAAACTTGTCTAATTTCAAATGAATTTTGATTATGGCAACACCATGATGTTTTCATCATATAGTAGCCGTGTGGGTATTTAGAAAATTACGAATTCTTTCCTTTCAGGTACATGTTCGGTGCGGTGTCAGCGCATAAGTATATCATCGCGTTCTGTATCGGTGTGGAGTTGCTAGCCGCGGGCACGAAGCGGTGGCTGTCCGTTGTGTACATCTTCACATTCTCGTTCGTATCAGCGCTGGGCATCGGCGTGGGCATTTTACTGGTCGGCGGGGCGGGCGCGGCCGCGGCCGGACTATACTCAGTTATATTACAGGTAATTTTACTAGCTGGACACTTTTAGAGCGGGCACACACCTTCGGTAAACTATCGTACAACTGTTGCGCGATTGTCGATTGTTTCGCAGACAATTCAACTGTTTAGTTGCACAACTAAAAACTGATTAATGTACGCACCTACATATTAGGTCATAGGAATCAAACTAAAAGGTTTTACAATAGTTTAATCAACTCTCACTATTATATTTATATACTTTACTTTTATGTTATTTGATTGAAATGTGTGACAAGAGTTCATGGGTACTACATGTTCTTAATTTCAACACTATGGTTTTTTTTACTATGAAACTATTTCACTCTCTTTTTCGTTAAGTAGTTATCAGCATTTATCAGATTGTTATAAAATTACTCCGCACCACGAATATAAAAATCAAACATTTTCAGTTGCTAATAAGATCAATGCGATGTAAAATGTTTGAACCTTTATGAATATTCTGTATTGTTGTTTAAAATTGAATAGAAATCATGAATTAGCGTGACTACAAAAGTATGTAAATAAATTAATAATTTATTATTCAAATCAAAAATCTTACCAATTCTAAGTAGTATTTTTACTAGGAGGATATTCTGCAGTTTCTAATATTTAATACTGCACTCAGAATCATTTAATAGTCACTAAGGGTCATATTCAAGTTTTATTTATCTTTGAATATCAGTTGTATATCCATACTACATTGGATGTAGCTATACTTATGTCAGCTGTTTTGTGTAAATTCCAGGGTCTAGCATGTGGTACGCTGATGTACGTGGTATTCTTCGAGGTGTGGCGACAGGATAGGACGGGACTGTCACAGTTCCTCTGCTCTATTGGCGGTTTTACACTCATGGTCTGCTTGGAACTTATCGTTGAATTAGGTTCGTATTCCTTGATTTATATTTCTATTGATGTGTAGGAGTAAAGGGCCAGGGGATAAGGCCGATTTCCCTGGTACATTTAATCATTCGGTTCGATAATTTCATGAAATGCGTCTCCGAACTACGTAACTTGTTTTAATGCGTTGAATTGAAGGTCAAACTAATACTATAATCTAGGTAACGTTAAAATAAATGAAAATTTCAGCAACCCTGCACTTAACATTCACTGTTATTTACGGCTTTTGCTCAGACTATGAGCTGTCAAATTTGTCCAAAAAACAATTAAAACCGAAACTAAAGAATAATTATTGTTTCAGCTGCGTGACGAAGATACATCGATAGAAAATATAACAATAACATTGAGATTGTGATGTACATTACATTTATTTAAGTTAACTTATAAGATTCCAATTGTTAAATAAAGTATTTAATATATTATTATTCGTTTCATTTAGAATTCAGAAAAAGAAATCATGGTATCTATATCTATACTTAATATTTCTTTAGTAAAAAGCCCTACACTTACGACACACTTCAGGTTATACATTTTTACGCTATTAAACTTGGGGGGTAAATAAATTGGAAAAAACCTTCATGTGGGAAATGGACCATAAACTACAAGCTGTCAACATTAAGGAAGCAAGGTTGCCATGGTTTGTCATCATGTCATGTCATTTTGACATTTGACACATATAAACAATTAAATAAAATTTTCATAATTTTGTGCGGATGAAGTCGCAAGGGAACAAGTTAATAGTAAATAAAACACATTTTGATATTTTATTTAAATCAATTTAATTAGAAATTAACATTTTACTCTAACTGTAAACGTTATCTGTTGTTAAAGAAAATAGACAATTTCTATTTTTTTTTCTATTTTATATATTTAGGCTGATTACACATAGATATGCAGGCGGCTCAACACACCTAATGGTTACGTATAGCGCTTTACAACAAAACTATGAATCGTAATATTTTGTTATTAAAATATCTTTACTTAGAATAATATATGTGTGCTTTATCGCACAATCTTAACTAGCTTGAGAGAAAGACATAGAGAAAATTCCGAAAAAACACTTATATCTATTTGCTGGTACATGAGTATAACTTTTAAGCCAACGATAGTAACATCCTTTTTATCCCATACTTCTAAGGCCGGCACATTTCGTCGTCCTTACAACAACATACTTTAAGTAATAATAAAGTTTTAAATGCTCAACTATCTAATAAACTATTGCGTTATTATATCATAAATTACTATAAAATTTATTCTTTTTAACGGCTTTAACGATTCAAATTTGAATAATCTGTTAATATACATAGATAAATAGTTCTATAGAGATGGTCAACTAGTCTGTGGTCTGGATTCAACGTAATCGTAATAATTAACATTAATTAAAAATAAATTACAACACTCACTTACAACTTTATACTAAATACAAAATAACAATTCTCAAAGATTAAATAAATTCAGGCACCATTTTCTTAATCTAAAAAAAAAAACAAAAGACAGTTGAAAAAAAAAACAAGTTTGAAATGTGATTTTCTCAAAAACCGTTAAATAAACTACGTTTAATTTAAGAAGAATTTAAACACAAGTTTAGAATGTAAAAACCGTGAAAAGAACTACGTTTAATATAGGAAGAATTTTAGTAATCACATTTTGACTGTTAACATTTTTTATTTTTTAATACAAAGGTCTACCCAAAGTCATCAAAATGGTTTCTAGATTTAATTAGTACAATTCTAATTGTGTCTATTTTTAAAGGATAAATTTGATATTTTATAGTAAAGTGATATTTCAAACAGTATATTGTTTTGGTTATACATGTATTTTAACTTTAAAGACTATGTAGATATGCATAAATTGAAAAAAATTCTATTTTAATTTCCGTTTAACAGAATTTTGGCACATTACAAAAAAAAAAACTACTCATATTGCTTAAGCTTCTAATTTATAACTTGTTTGAATTCAAACTGTCTGAAAAAATTAATAAAAAAAAAATAGAATATACTAAAAGTAAAAATGTGAAATTGCATTGTTAAACTTAATTCTTAATTTTTTAGAATAAAATTTTATTTTGAGCCAATTTTATATATTTGTATTAATAACGTTTAATTTTAAATGTTTAAGTTAATAATTTTGCCGCGATTTTGACTACAAATCTTCAAATAACGCCTAATATTCCTATTGGAATGTAAGCAGTAAAACCGTTATATAGTTCATGAAACTTCAAAAAATGTGACCCTATATTTTTCGCAGCGTGAATGTACTTTACGTTAATTCAATAGAATATTTCTTTTATACAGCAGTACATACTAAAGGGGATGAACGGTTTTTGACAGTTTTTTTACATTTTGTAACAATTTTCGATATCATTATCAATATTAGAAATAATAAACAATGATTTTATGTTTTAAAAAAATGTTTTTTGGATATTTTTTTTGTGAATTCGTATGTAGTTTTTTTTATTGTCGCCTTGTGGCTTGTTATTATATAAACCGTCCATCCCTTATTACTTACACAGGACAGAATCCGTTATGTAAATTGACGTTAACAACTCCATTACACGATAACACAAAAAATGTAATGTATTATTTGATTCATCGATCATACATTTTTTGTTAACGTAGGAAAAATTCATATTCAAAACGCAATTATGTTTTTTTTTGTACTTGATATCATTGCACATGCAAATTTTCTGTAGTATATTTTAGGAAGATTATATTATCTTAGATTTTAGGTAATCTTTTTATTCGAAATAAGGTTGTTTGCATATGTAACGTTTCCATTATCTAAGCGTGGTCATCTACTGCTGTAATATCTATACAAAAAATATTGTTATATCGTTTTTTTTTAAGAATATAGAGAGGGGAAGATTTTTTATTCGATGAAGTATTTCAACAGAGGAGACCGACGTTTTAAACCGTAATTATTTCGTATGATTGTAGATTGTTAACGTCAATTTCATAAAATCCGATCACAACACGACGGCTGTTTAAGATTTGAGCAGTTTGTTCGCTCGCTGGTTAGCCACAGCTATGCGGGTCTCATTGCTTTCACCCTATAAACATTTAAGAATAATTAACATATTGCAAAGGTTAAGTGGTATATATTAGAAATAACGATGGTTATAACTTATTTGCATAATACTTTTAAAAAACACGATTATTTACAAAATTTTACATTCTGTAAACATTTTGCCTTCAAACATTCTAATATTTTGAAAAAGTACAGTAAAATTTTATGATTTTAATACCTTTAACTAAATAAGTACATAATGATTGCGTGTCTTCAATGTTTAATTTCAAACTTACCCCTTGCTAAATTTACATGTATAATTACAAAAAACATATTAAACCCTATAGTTTAGTATCTGGATATTGTCCAGTAATTAAAAGGAAAAAAATCTATAAGTAGACCACATATAAAGCACAGAGTATGCAAGTTGCATTAAAAGTGCAAAGCTGTGTTCAAATTGTATTTCTTTAATAATTTCAATAAAAAAAAAACAATATACTTACTGGCATCGCCGACGTGTGTTTGTTGTGTATGTGTACTGTCTGTTATTGTCTCGTGGTATTTGTTTACAATTTGATAAAAAAAAAGTTAATACAGACTATCAAACTTACTACATTAAAAAGATTTAATAGACGTAGACATAAAAACTTAAATTATTTACATTTTTTAAAAAAGAGAATGGTATTAATAAAAATGCAATTAAATAAAATCAAGGAAAAGGATATTCAGAAATAAAAAAAAATCAATTACAAACTATTTTTTAGATTTATTAAAAATAAATAGAACCACTAGAAAATAATACACTAAAGTATTTTATACATTCGTTTAAATATAAAGATTGACTAATTGCAAAATTTCACAGAAGTTATAAAAATAATGGAAAAACGTTTCTACAATTACGTATGTGCTTCTATGAATTGTCTGTACAATTAAAATGGCGTGTTTTATTAGAAAGAATACTACAAACTGATAGTAATAGATGAGAACATTGCTTTATACTTAAAATTAATTAATTCCAAAATATCACACGTCGACACGCCTTTTATAGGATTTCCTAGCTAACAATTTAATTATGGAACATCCGATTAAGGGTCACGTTGTTTTTTGTTAAAAATGAAGGGCATTTTTTTCAAAAACAGCAATTGCTGATGCAATAAATACGCTTTAGCAAAGTATTACTCATTTGAATTGAGACAATTAAATAATGAGCGAATCTAATCAAGTTTAAGTGAAAAACTCACAAAACTCTTTGACATAAAGATATTTCTTAATAAAATTAGTTTTTTAAATATTAGATAGTAATTGCCCTACATTCATTCTTACCAATTAAAAAAAAGAAGAAGGTTTTTTTATACATCAGATATTAATAATTCTAGGAATATAACTAAGTAGATTATTTTTCATAGTGCAAGTCGGAATAAATTATATTGTCGATTGCAGAGATGACAATTATTTACTGAGTTCGTAAAAAAATCTTGATTGCACAAAATCATGAAGCGTTCATCGACCAGAGACATTTGTTTATACGCATTTTTGAAAATATAGCACTAAATCAATATAAAAAAGTAAAAAAAAAGTAAAAAAAATCACTGAATCTAACTCTGTAATACAATTATTCAAATACGAGATATTTTTTTTAATAATATTTATGAATACTGGCCACCTAAGCTACTATATTATATTAGAAGCAATTTGTAATAGGAATATTTTGAGGTTATGTCTTTTGAACGTCAACATTGTAACAGAAATGTGAATGACAATGTGTATGTGTAGTCTTTGGGCGCCATCTTCATTTACTTGAGCAGCTCATGGGCGCGCTGGTTCGCCAACGTTATCCTCGTTTCATTCGATTCACCCTAAGGTACAGAATTCGTTCTTTGTTTTTCTTTTTCATTGTATTATGTATTTGAAATTTATAAAACGGTTCACTAAGATCTATGCACGCCAGTGATATAGATGGCACAAAATAATACTATAAAATTAATGACATTTAAAAAAAATATTACAAAAAATATTTTTTTTACATTTTTTCTTATCTTAAGCTGGCTTGGCTAGATCTTAATTTTGTTTCTTTAAAAACGTGGAGTTTAATATTCAAGGATTGTTAGTATCGGTTTAGTTCCACAGATAATGAACAGTGTGAAGTGAATGTGTTACGATATGACAGTTCCCGTGTTAAAATATTATGACTTCAATACGTTATTACATTCCCTGCTAAGTTATATACATAGTGCATGCAATTTAAGCATGAGCAAAGCACTTGGAGGATATTGTAATACCATTCCGATATGAAAGCATTATGCAACGATTAAGGTCGAGTTAGTTTTGTCAGTTTTAAATGTTGGTAGAAGATTTATAACCTGTATTAAATGTCAATGTCATTTGCTATGTATTTATTACATTTTTTGTTATAAATAATTTAAAAAAAAATATGAATTCCTATGATTAAGATGTAACCTCTGCAATCGGCGGTATTAAAGACCACGAGACGGTTGGTGTTTGTTTGTGTGTGTGTTTGCGGTGTCTACTTGAGGAGCTCGTGCGCACGCTGGTTTGCCACCCTTATTCTTTCATCGTTTGATTCGCCCTAAGATATAGAAAAAAAGTGTTTTTGTTTTGTAATTAAACAGTGACCCTAACATAAATTGGGGGAATACAATTAACCAACATTTGAATGACGAATGATCCATAGACAATTTTAGCTATCTACATGACATTTCAAACTATGGTACACAAAGTTCACACGGATTAAATTTCTAAACATTTTTATTAATTCACACAAAAACAGCAAACTAAACAGATGATTGGTGTTAGGATTTTTCTTTCTCTACTCTTTAGCCTGGTTATTACTTAATATATATCAATAACGATAATTTTTACTTAATTCTTGTTATTGGAAAAACATGAAAAATTATTTAGACATAAAAAAATTATGATTTCACCACATCAAATTTGTCTTTCAATTTTGCGTACAAATTAAAAAGCAACAACACAAATAAAAAATGCATATTTAATAATATTTCTAGCTACTGCGATACATAACGTCGAATACTGATTTAACTGTCTTTCTTTCCTTTTGGGGATCAATAAGTGGTAACACTGTTTTTTAATGTTTTTTTTTTATAACTTGGGATGTGTGTATATTAAGTTTCAAGTGGCGATGTAGGATTAATATTTAGCTAATAAATTTCATTTGTGATACCTAAATTTATTTGGTTAGTGTTTAATGAGTTATATGAAGTGTCCAATGTATTGACATCGGTCTGTTGTAACTAGTTACTAATTTATGGAAGGAACCATGCTTCGAGTGAACAGGAAATACTATTAACATTCCACTATGCTATTTTTCAAATTTTAGTACAAGCCATAGATTAGGGATAGAAATTAGAGGACAAAAGGAACAAGATTACCACAAGTATGCCACAGTACAGTAAACACAGAAGTCCCATCATAATAAAAAATGGTTAATAAGTTTATGTATTTAATTTATAATGGGAATTTTGTAAATACTGTTTATACTACACACAGTTACAATCCCACTAGCAATCTAAACTACCCTACAAGTTGAAATGTTAATGAGACAGGAATTTCGTTGGTAAAAAAACTCCTTGAATTTTAATATACAATTGTTGAGATTTAAAAATAAAAGTTTTTTAATTTATTATATTAAATTTTGTAAAAAGTTTTTAATTGAAATTTGACCCATTATTATAATAAAATATTTTTACAAAGAATGGGAAATTTGTGATTGCGCTGTTATTAATTTAAATTATGATTTTACAATCAGCTGTTTCGACTTTTTATTTGAAAGTCATATTGGAGTCATTCATGTCATCGTTTAAAACAAAAGATATTTATACCGTTATCTAATCGGCGTGGCTGAGTTGTATTTAAGATGACTTTTAGATATTACAATACCCTGACTCATGTAATTTTCGTCGGGTTTTTCCACATTTATAGTTATAAAATAGTATCAAGAGTGAGTTTTTTTATTGATAAACGAAATATTTAAAAATTTCTTTTTAAACTATTTAGTTTATATAGCCAGCCAGAGACAAAGTCACTTTGTCTTATAACTAGCTGTTGGTCGCGACTTCGCCCGCGTTAACATAAAAAATATAGTTTATGTTAATCACTGATAACGTAGCTTTGTAATGGTGTAACAATTAGAAATCGGCCCAGTAGTTTTTGAGTTATTTCAATACATACAAAAGTATAAATCTTTCCTCTTTATAATATTAGTATAGATATTATATAACTGAACAGCGCAATCACCTGATTATTTGACAATACAGATTGTATTTAACTAAATGCGTGTACAGAAGGGGCGTTACCTTGCGGTTGATGCGGTCGATCTGACGGTTCTGGTTCTCGAGCTCGGAGCCCATGTCGAGTGCCATATTGCGCAAGTTGCCGATCATAGTGTTCACCTGGCCCATGTTCTCTTCCATCTCATCCTCGCGTGCATCATTCGTTATCCTGGTTTTGTACGAAACAAACATTTTCGTTGTGTTAATGTATAATCGCGGAAATCCGCGGTGTTACAGAAAGACAAGCTTCGCCAAGTGGACCACCGTCAGATCTCTCGATTGTACACCACTGTCGTTATAATTGAGCATGTATATGTATGACTTATAAATTCGTCGTGTGCCATACTGACCTGCCTATGTATCCGGCTTGCGGACCGATGCCGTTCCTCTCGTCCATGACGCGCTGGGGCTGGTTGTTGACCACCTTGCCGTCGTCATTGCCTTTCCAGGTGCCGTCATCCTCCTTGAACGAGGCTCCCCTGAAAAATATATAGGTCCAATTGTATAGTTTATGTATTATAAGTCATTTCTGTGGTATTTCGTGTTCTTACGTTACCATAAAGTTATTTTTTTGGCATAAGCTTTTCTCGTAATAGAAATACGACATACTTATTGCATGGCAGAACGCAGATGCCGCAGCACTTCTCCATACCCGACAGATTCTTCTCGGCCTCGCGCATATCGGCGTTGATCTGGTCCATGCCCTCCTCGATCCTATCCAATTGTTCTGTCCACACACACATATACGATCGCTTTAAAATCGTCCTTCAAAGCACTCCACGGAAATGTGTAAAGCACCTAACCTTTCGATTTAACTACGCGACCAATTTACTTTTCATTATGATTCAAATTCTTCAAATACTTTTTGTAATTCATTAAAATCTTACTTTCGGTAAATTCTCAACGCTCTCGACAATAACCAAGATGAAGTGTAAGACAAGATCTCTCTGTTTGTATTATAATGGTTCTGTAGTGTGGTCTAATATCATGCTGACAAAACATCAACAAGCGGCTCTATCCAGTTCAAAGCGACTACAGACAGTTTCGTGTCGTCTCGTTTGAGTTTGTCTTGTCTGTAAATATATTTGTCTCACACTTGATCTGGTCCGGTATTAGCTAGAATTAAAATTTACCTTCAAAGATGATGTATGTGCTGATACTGAGTGATACAATACTAATACTCGTAATGACTAACACATAGATATTAATAATCTCAATACTAAAATCATGCAAATAACAGCGAGATTAGAAGTAGACGTGCATAGCTAGATGCGTGAAAAACTAAAGAAAATAATTCATACTGTCTGATTTATTGAGATGATTGTTAGGTCGCGTCGGCCCGTGCCGCGGCGAAACGACCCGTGCTGTCTATTCACTGATCATTATATTGTTGGTGATGGTGAACAAGTCTGTACTTCCCGTTATCGTCCGTTGAAGTACAACTGTTAGCATTTTTCAATCGGTCAAATATTTAATTCATCGCTATTCAATGATTTCACTTAAGGTCGAACCGGCATCTCAGACACAAGCCTTACTATTTATGGGTGATGTAAAATAATACTACTGGATGCTTACCGCCCTGTTCATCCAGCATGACCAGGGTTCTCATGCCCACCTCGTGACTCTACAACACAATAATGATGTCACTATAGCTCGCCAAAATACGCGCGGCGAGCGGAGCGGCCGCGGCGCGCCCCTCTCGCGCTAGTAACTCAAACAACTAAAGAGAAAAGAAAATAAATGAGCACGGGCGTGAGGCCACTCCTCCCGCGGTCGCGACAAACAAAATAAATCAACTTAGCAAATGAGCATATCGATAAAAGCCATTCCTAAATGAACGGTGATAATAGCAAAGTCGGTTAGTCGAAGAAGAGAAATGATCCATGTAAGATGTAGTGTGGAGGAGCGAGCGGCGGCCTCGCAGCCGAGCCTGCCATCCTACTGCGCTAACACTGACAGTACACTTAGCCATGGCCGGCATCGACAAGGCCGCTCTACCACCGCTTGCTAGAGCTATAGATAGCGGCCGCGGCTCGCAACGGGCACTGCCGCGCATCGTAACAGAAGAGAACAGTAGATTGGGAAAGAGAAATAAACATACCTATAAAAAGCGTTCGATCAATAAAAATTCAACGGAAGAACTAAACAGATTGCGCAGCTCACACAAATTAAATCTTCAGCAGATAGAGGTAACAGTCTTTTGCGACATTTAGCAACGAACGGCCATCGGGCGTATCTATATACACTATGTCGGTAAAGTCATCCCCATCGAAACATAGAAACACACGCAACATCGAACTGAGACAAGTCGTTATTCAAGAGAAACGTCAAAGAAAAAACAAAGAGTTATTTTTACTGCACATTCAACACAGACGTTCTCACGTTTGGACTACCCAGTGTTAGTAGGTCTTACCGCCCTGGTGACTCAACATATGAAGCGCTTGCCCCCCGGCGTCCTCGCTCTATACATAAAATACAAATCAAAATAATATATCGCAGGAGAGAGTATCGGGGTGTGTGGCGGGTGGCGGGTGGCGGGTTGCGGGGTGCGGTGCCGGAGAGGGCGGCGGGGCGCGGGGCGCGGGGCGCGCGGGCGCGGCGGGGCGCGGCGCGGCGGCGTGCTGCGTGCCGGCGTGCGTGCTGCGTGCGTGCGGGCCCGCCGCGCTATCACACACTACTCGACCAACAACCACATGCATGCAGTGAAGCTTGCAAGTAAAACCAGACTCAGTTTTATCTGTGCGCAGTTTCATATGATTCATGATAATTCTGTGTGATGTTTAGAGTCGTGCGTTGAGGAGAAGCGTTTCGAATTTACATCGCTCGTTAACTCGATAAATACGTTTCATGTGAATAAGGTAAGTTTCGAGAGTCGAGTACCATCATCTGGAATGCACAATGTAAAGTATCGGATTTAACTTAGTTTCTGTATAATGTCGATCGGTCGGTCCGCCGGTCCGGCCCGGCCGGCTTCGGCGGGAATAGCGCTCGCTGTCGGGTTGTGCAAAGTGGTGTATATCATCTACTTTACAAACGAGGCATACAAAGATGTGGGTTTTCCGTGACAAGCTGTGTGTGCGGTTAATAAGTAAGTCGAAGCTCGGAGGATGCCCGCACCTTTGCATTGCGTTCAACCGTAGCGTAAGTTTAAACAAACAGTCGATGCGTTACCCCCTTAGTTGATCGAAGCCGACGAGCCCCGCTTCGGCTCGGCTGAAAACCCTACGGCGCTCGAACAAGATTAGCGAAAAAAGTTAAAATAGATAAAATTGTAAGTAATTTAGTGTTGCAAACTTGGTAGGTCACTCACCTCCCTGGTCGTCTAGAGCGACCAGAGTACGAATGCCGGCCTCCTTGCTCTAGACCAGCCGCAGAAACAAAAAGTCAGAGCATGTTAGTTGTGAGGGGTACAGTACAGTACAGTACAGTAGAGTGAGTGGCGGGCCGCCGGCGCCGGCCGGCCGCGCAGCGCGGCGTGCGGCGAGCGGCCGGCGCGGCGCGGCCGTCGCGTGCGTGTCTCACTGTCATGTATTGCATGGCTTGCCTTACGCTAGTGTCGCGAGCGGGAAGACACCTTCAGAACGCATGTCTACTCTTTCTGATCAACAAATATATTGAAATGTTTCTGTAGATGTCTTTTTGTAATCTGGAAAGTGTCATGAAGTAATTCTGATTCTGTATTGTGTTCAATACAATATATTTGATACAATGTTGAGAGTTCGGCCATTTGAGTTTAATAACTATTAACAAAAAATGTAAATAAACAAAATATGTAAAAATATTAATAATAATACAAAGGAGTACAAATAAATAAAGTATTAAAATAAGGTAAAGATGATACAAAAACGTAATGTTGCTGTAAATAATAATAATAATAAAAAGAACATTGTTTTGTATTTGGTGTGAGAGTTGCATTCAGGTGTAGCTCGATATATCTGTTGGAGTCAAGTGGTAGGTCCATGGTGTGTATCGCCCACATACTGACAGTATTGTGAATGTTCGAGAAGGCATGAAAATTATAACATAAGATAACAGTCAACAACAGACAGCAGCCACTACACAGAGACCTACGTTACAGAGACAACTAGTACAAAGGAAAATATTAAACCTCAATAGACATTTAGCTCGTAATATTGCGACAGGTTTCAATTTAAAGTGACAGATACTTGAAAAGAAATCAGTTATAAGAGATTTGTCGATGTTTCCATTTGAGAGAATGGTCATAAAAGAAGAGAAAGATAGAGTGCGTTAGAAAGTAACAGCCAGAGTGGCGGGTATTTGTCATTAGGAGAATTTGATTAGGTCAAGGTTTCATTTCGAAAGCAAGCCCAAGCATAACAAAACAAGGTAGTCGAGAAATGTAAGCAAACATTTTCAGGTCGTATTGATATGCACTAAGGGATATGCTAATATCTGAGAAGTATGTGGTTTAATCTATTCGTAGGACGTTGTCTATATTGTAATGGGCTCATGCTATGGAAACAATAACGGTTGGTCTGGACAAATGACTTTGGAGTTGACAGTTAACTTGTCATGTAAATCTTCAATTTCATCCATGCTGTTTACAAGTGTATAAAATTTGGTACAATTAACTGTCAACGCCGAGGACCAGTCGGTCGGGGAACACTCAACAACAAAAATTACATCGCTACAAACAACACAAAGGGCTAGAAAGTTCTCTAACATATTCGGAAACATTTAGGCACGGATCATGCAACACCCATTTACGTATGGTTATAAAAAATACACATAAATATATAAGGCAAAAAGGGAATGAACAAAAATAAACAAAACTCGGGATGGGAGAACTACGAGAATAAATAAAAATGACGACATATGTAGCAACATCGAAACACAACAGCCAGGGTAGCGGAGGCTGCGCCCTAAGGGGTCGAGGGACGGGCGGGGCGTATCTGACCGAGCTGGGGGACTATCCAGGACACTTCCGCTATACCCCTCACTCCCTCGCATCGAGAACACCTCTCTCACAGATAACAAATAATCACATAACCAACGGAACAACTCAACATAAATACTTAAACTATGAGAGAAACATAAAGTTATTGAAATCGACACACGCCACTCGACGTGTCACAATTCATTAAGGTAATGACAAATGGGGACTCTCTCCAGTATACATTATGTTGGACGCTTTGAACAGTCAATTATTATTAAATATAACACATTATTATAACATAATAAGACACATTTTAATAAGAATTAATACAACTATTAAACCATTTGAAAATATTTGCAATCTCGATATTAGTTACTAAATGAAAATAGTGACAGAATTTAATTTAATTACATTTAACCAATCCACATTTAGAAAATTTTATATTTAATTCAAATTTAATTGTTAATTCAATCTTGACTTTATTTGCAATTTCTTTTAATATTATCATAGAAAATTCAAATGAAATGACGGGTTAGTCCATCTATTCCCCCTGAACAATAACCCAAAGCGTTACAATAAATCCAAGTACTTCCCTTAGGGAAAACCGTAGTGTTATAGTTTTGGGTGATGGATGGACAAACCCAAAATGACCATAATTAAATTTACTCTAAATTTCTTTGAAATTTGATTAATATTTTTAATTATGATCACTTTAATGTTCATATAAAACAAAAATAACAGCGAATAGGATATGAAAGTTATCTTACCTCCTCGCATAGCTGCATCATGCGCCGGGTCGACTCCAATGACTGAAATTGTTAAATAACATCGCTTGTAACAACTAACATAACATATATTGAAGTATAAAGTAATTAGAAACGGCTTAACACATGTATAATCATTCATCTATCTTCAGTGTGAGTGCGTTTTTAAGTTGATTATAATAATGTCTCACGAAAGTTTAAAGAGTTTAATATAATTGAAGTAATTTGAAATTAAGGTAAATAAATCCTACATTCTCTAAAACGCTGTCCATTAGTAGATAACGGTTTTCAAGAGAAATAAAAATGTATACCATAAATGCTCATCTTTTTCTGTTTATAAATATTCCTAACATTTTCTTTTTTTATATGTATACGTATTACTACATTCAGGAATTGTTTAATACTCAGGCAATTCGTTAGTGTAGATTTCTCATACTAAATTCACACACAGTTAATGGTGTGGATTAAAATAGAATGGATAAGGAATAGTCAAAGAATCATTTAGAGTAAAATTCTGGATCTTAGACGTTGGTATTATGAAGCTGTGGTACTTTTAAAAACCAGCCTACTTATTAATTCAGTGTGAGGTATAAATGTATGCTAACCTCATCGGTGACCTGTCCAGCGCGCATTTGCAGCTGCTCGAGCTCGCTGCGAGGCACGCCATTCTCTGGAGGCGCTGCTGACGGCATCCTGGAACCAGTTATATCGTCAACTTAGATACATGCTTTGAAAACTTGATCTGTTAACGGATTAACTGCGATGATGTACAATATTTCTAGTTTCTATATGCTGAGACCGGTATTAAGAGAATGAATATCTCAACAAACTTTTGCCCACGACTCCGTCCACGTGGAATTGAAAAAGAAGTAAGTACCCTCTGTGTTCTTAGTAAGCAGAATTTGTTCTACATCTATTCCAAATTTCAGGAAGACCCGTTGAGTCGTTCTAGAAATACCTTATAACATGTAGCCATCCATCAAAACTTTCGCGTTTATAATATTAGTAAGATATATAAATCTCTTTGTGTGAAACAGTCATATTCTTAGTTTAATAAACAACTTTCATATTTAATAATAAAAAAACTAAAAGCATTCGTGTCCTTTTAACTAAATGGGACAAGAGAGAGTCGCGCATTCTCGACCTAATTATGACTTAAAATATGAAAAACGGTAAAACTGTTGCTATACAATAAGAGTGAAGTGGCTAAACAGTTTTAAAATAATGTACACGAACTTTTTTAAGCAGTATACATATTTGCACTGTAGCACAAAATTCACGGATTTCTTTCTATAGTTTTACGTAATTTCAATACGGTGCTCGTATCTATCATGGAAAACTGTAAAAACCTAAAACCACACTGGAATTTACTGAGTGAGTTCCAGCGTGGGTTTGGTAGCTGGACTGGAATAATGTAAAAAGGACATTATACATACAAAAGTTTACTTTTAAATAGAGAGTAGCTACTTACAATTGTTATGTTCAATTATTTACATACATCAGAAGTTAATGTTGGAAAATTGATTAAAATATAAAAATAAAGTATACTCAGTTTCAATATAAAAGTAAAGGAGTTCATGCATAAATGACGCCGCTGACGTATTCCGTAGGCGCATTCTGAATACAGCTGCGGGAAAACTTTTGTTAAACTACCCGCTCACAATTGTACGGATTTTAATCTTGAAAAATCTTTCGCCTAGTCTCACAAACAAGAAAAGTTTCTATATTACTTTCTAGCTTAGTGTACTGCTAAAATATATTGGAAGTACATATAACGTTTACGGAGAATATATAAAAATAATATTTAAGTCGACTATTTAGATACTAAAAGACAAAGTATAGTACGGGCGCACACCTTAGATTAAACTATCGCACAACTATTGTGCGATTGTCGATTGTTTCGCTGTCAATTCAACTGTTAAGTTGCCTAACTAAAGATCGATTACGCACCTCTATAAGCACGTAGGAATCAAATTGCTACTAAACAGTTGTGCGATAGTTTAGTCAAAGGTGTGGCACGCTCTAAAAGGTAATATTCACATATCGTGACTTTAATCGATCAGAATGGTAATAATAAATAATTCGTGACGTACCAATATAAATGTAAACATAAACTGCATGAACTAAAACCGAGATTCACTGTTAATTTATGGTGTTTCGATATTCTCGAATTAAAATTTATCATTTATATTAATTACACACAAATTTGCAAAAAGTGAAACTTAACAAAAACAATATCTGAGAACGTACGTCCGTTTGTTCATGTAATTATAGAAGATGAAAGGTTGAATGCTTCCAGCTCTCACGTATACGTCATTGCTTTCTATAATCATATGAATTGGATTATCAATTTACGTTGAGTTGATAGACACGAATATGTTGCACATCTATGACCACAAATTATTATATTAAATTATTTATAGTGGTACAGACTTATCAGGTCCTTTGGAAAGAAGTTATTCTCTATCTAATAATTTTTTCCAAGAAGAAGGACTGCGACGACAGCCCCACAGTTACGGCCAGATGTGATGATAGTGCAGTAACAAAGTTGTGACGATAACTGCTTACAAATTTTAGATCGATGACAGGTTTTCCACTTTTAGGGCCTGTCCCACTACTGACTGATAGAGGCTCAGATAGCTTAAAAATTACTTCGCTCCCAAATAAGGTAACAAAATCCGATATTTCCATTACATATTTTACACGTTCGATTGTTATCAGACGATTTACATGGTTGGAAAGGCCCTTCGGTTGTAACTTGTATTCTTGAAGGTCTTTCAAAGTGATTGGATCGCTCTATTTTTAAAGGTGTTTTGATAGTGGAAATCCACCATATCGTTGTGATAGTTCAAGAGCATTGTCTGGAGTAAACAATAACAAAAGATGGGGTTTAATTAATCGAGGTAGGCCGTATTTAAAACTCGTAGACTCGTGTTTTTCGAACAAAAGAGTTACGTAAGCCGCAACGCTGAGCGGGGGAGGTTGGCCTTGATGGAGCCCGGGGGTGGGAAACGAGGGTGGTTCGCAAGCCTCGCCCCAGCGCTACGTGACAGGACTATTACGTACAATTTCAATGTTCATGCCATTTACTTTAACTGTATTGTTATTAAAATGAAATAAGTAATTATAGACACCAGGTGGCATAAAAATTTGCGAAAAAGTGTTCGTTACTTAACGCTACAGAATTTGAACAGCGCGCCTATCGGGCTTAAAACACACTGACAAACAAGAAAAGTTGTCACTACATAACATAGGATGGGATAAGAGCATTCTCTTAAATGCATGATTTTTTCTTATTAAATGCCATAGGTTGAAACGGGTAGTAAATTGAACATAGATCAAGTGAAAACAAATAAAATAAAAATGTTTTTATTCTATTTTCAAAATAGTCTATTGGACAAGGAAAGGACTGATGTATAAATACATCATCATGCATTTATGGGTTAAGGGATCTAGTTTAGTTGTTAATAGAAATAGAAATAATTTTATTGAAAAAAAAAAGAGATTAACAATTACAATAACAGTTATACCTAAAAGATAAATACAAATTGTGAAAAAAAATACAAATAAATACACGATTAATCTGGTGATGCCCACACTAGGCAATGCCTGTATCGTGGGTATTGAAATCTGTTGATCTTACAAATATTATAAATGCGAAAGTTTTGATGGATGGATGTTTATTAGTTTGTAGCCTAAATTGCTGAACGAATCTAGACGAAATTTGGCAATTATATAGAGGATAGTCCGGAAGCACATAGGCTACTTACTTTTTTTAATACCAAGCAGACGAAGTTGCGGTCGACAGCTAGTAACTTAATAAAATGTATTTCATATTTTTCTAATACAGTTGGTATCTTAAGTAGACGGTTCAACGTCTGGGACCTCGTAAAATGTTCATCATGTGTCATTGACTTGCGAACTATGAGTTCAAAGATCCCATCTCAATTTACTAATATTAAACTGCTGTTTTACTATCACGTAGAGTTTTTAACTAAATTGGATTTACATACAATAAAATTTTTCAACAGTGGTAGCGCCCACTTTAACATCTTCGCACGAATTGGCCGGATCGCTCGGTGTAATACCACGACCACACAGAAGACAGGCGTGAAGTGCGAGCAATTCCGCGCGTTTCGTTTGATGAGTGTGGTGCCGGAGGCCCAACTTTAGTCCCTTTTCTTTCCCACCCTTTTTCTTATATGAAAAGGATGGGAAAGGAACGTGGATTTGACGGTGCAGGAGACGCATAGAAAGGAGAAATAGCGTCTTTATATATGTCTGTTTTGCGGAAAATATGTAGTTTAATTAAATAAACAAGAACATGTGACAATAAACATCTGATAGCATGCGAAGCATAATAAATTGTCACGCGAGCACAAAATGTACAGTCGCGGAAATCCGCGGTGTCGATTTCAGGAAAAATTGCTTTCATTGCAACGAGACAAATCAGCCTCTCCTGCAATTACCTAATTAGATAGCAGAGAGTGGCAAACGAAGGGGTAATAATAAAAAGAAAGTAATAGAGTATCTCTAACCACCTTTTTCTCGTACAGGCACAATTATAGGTTTAGCCCTCGACTCCGTTCGCGAGGAATTAAAAAAAAAAGCAAAAGTAAGTAACCTAAGTGTTATTCCCGACTATGCTCTACATCTATGCCAAATTTCATCGAGATCCGTTCAGCCGTTTAGGCTACAAACTCTAACAAACATCCATCCATCCATCTAAACTTTCGCATTTATAATATTAGTATGATTAGTATAAATTAGTAAGATGTATTGTTTTTTGTGCCGCTTGTGGCTTTTAAGGTGGAACACCAGTTTCTCCGACTGTACATATGCAATACGTATTTCCTCACAGAATAAAAGTACTTGCGTTAATTTTTATTAATTGTGTTACATTTCTCTATTACTTTAGACGAAAAGCAGACATTTACAAGAACGAATTTTCTAACATATTATAATTCAGATTAAAAACTAACTGTTGCTCGCGACTTAGCCCGCGTAAAATTAAAATATGCCCATGTTACAGATAGATTACCTTTATAACGTGAAGGATTTTTTAAAATCAGTTCAGTTACATACAAGAATAAAAAAATACAAATCTTTTCTATTTATAATTTTAGTATAGAAATAGATGTAATAATATTGTCTCTATTCCTTTGACAGCGAAAGTACTTGCATCGAGCAGACGACGTTCATGAAATTACTGCAATTGGCAGACGAAGAAATGGAACTTTTGACCCTTTTCTCCTACCACTTGTAATAGAACTGTCTAGCAATATAAACAGATTTTAAATTAGTTTTCCTTTAGATAAGATGTTTCTTATGTTTTAGTATGTAGTATGACAGTATGTTTACTGTAAATGTCGTTGATATTTTCTTTTAGTTTTACTATACGAATTTATTCTAAGATCGATTTGGTTTTTGCAACCTTAGTAAATTTATTTTCTTGTTTGCAACATAAACTTGTCGAACGAAAATAAAAATTGATTTGTAATAGAAAAGATCTGAATCAGTCAGAACAATCAAACGGCGTCTTATTCTTTTTTTAATTAAAAAATATTTTAATGTTACTACGTTTTGTTTCCTCAATCAGAAAATCTATAAAAGCCCTACAAAATACTCTCGTAATTTCTGTTTATAAAGGCGTCGAAGCAATAAATTTTGATAGTAATCTAGCTTAAAATGTG